CTTTCCTTCCCGACCTAAATTTAGCATTGCCTTGAATACTCTGTTCATCTTTCCTTGCCTTTTCTTTTCATTAATAACCTTACTGAATCTATATATGGTCCTATGACACATGCCCACCTGCCTGCAGTGAGCACGGAATGCTGTGGATGGTTCGTCAAAACATGAGAAAAACACACACACAGACAACCAGGTCCTGTGGGGGAATCAAGAAAGAAGAGCCACTCCTCACGTGGGGAGCACCTTGGCCACCCTCTCTCCTGGAGGGCACCATGGCCACTCCTCATGTGGGGAGCACCTTGTCCTCCTGCACAAGCAGGGTTTTATTCTTGAATACCAATACAGTTTGCAAATTACAAGCAGTTAGCTTTTGAAAGGTGCTGGCAGATTTCCTACTGGGATCCTAAGCCAGAGATTTTGGGGTTTTATCATTTAAAAAGACTACAGGACTTAAAGCTTAGTTCTGTTTCCTGCCTGTGACTTCATATTCTAATTAAAGAGCATCCTCCAGCAAGCAGATTTCACAGGGTCTTTCATATTCTATGAGTTAGGCCTGATTACCCCAGGAGTCCGCCATTCCTGGTCTGGACTGTACCGCCCCTGTTACTTCCAATGGGCCTGAGTTGGGCAGAGAAGACAAAGGCAGCTGGGAGACTTGGATTTCTCAAGGACTCAGGCATTGGCAAAATTGGTGATTGATGTCGATCACCCCGTTATTTCCACAGCCCCGCGAGTCTTGTCCCTGTTATTCCTTTGTGAACACATCTATCTTAGATTCATTCTCTATCCAAGAGAATTGTTACCCATCATTAACTGCTGTTCAAGCCAGGAAAATAAGTTTTTGTCTCCTTAGTGGTTCCTGGTCTGGAGGTCTTTTACTCAGCCTAAGTCATGGGGGATTACAGCTTCCTGAGACCAGGCAGGAGGGCCCCAACAGTTCTACTTATCTATTGCTGTCTAACAAACTTCCAGTTCTATCTAACTCATTTCTACCAAGATGAGGGGCAGGGGGCTGAATATTACTTTTCTAATATTTATATAGCCATACTGGCTTTCTGCCTAGGCCTATTACTGCCTAGTGAGCACGAAAGGACCATTCCTCGGTCTTGTCAGACACATCCCCACTGTGGAGGGCGAGCGGACCTGGGACAAGTCTAGCAAGTGTGGAAATCTAGACTTTCCAGTCAGCCTTTGCTGGGGTAGTAGGAGTGCAGCCACAAGTATTTATGTAGTTTCCGGCTGGAATAGAGCATTTATTGTCTCAAAGTTTTGTTTTTCTGGTTTGTTTTCTTCCTGGTCCTTTGGCTAAAGTGAACAGACTTTTCTTGGGGCTTTTCTTGTCTCTGTCCATTGCTATTTCCAGGTTGATGGATTCTTCAGGTTCAATCTGGAAAGAACGAAAGAGAAAGAAAGGAAGAAAGGAAGAAATGAAGGAAGAAAGGAAGGAAGGAAGACAGGGAGGGAGAGAGGGTGAGATGAAGGAAGGAAGGAGAAAAGAAAAAAGAAAAGGAGAGAAAGGAAGGAAGGAAGGAATGAAGAGAGAGAGAGAGAGAGGGAGGAAGGGAGGGAAGAAGAAGAAAGAGAAAAGAAAACAAAACACTCAGGGTACTCACTACTGTGTCCTTTGCATCTTGAGGTCTTAAAAGTTCAGTCTTCTCTCCAGTTTTCCATCTTATCATGACAGGGTGCAGTAGAAGTAATGCCTGCTTGAGTGTGGTTGGTAGGGCAATAACATGGGTGTAATAATTTATAGTTTTAATTTGAACATTTCACCTAACATGTCCTATGGAGTGCTTGAGTGTGACATTGTTAAATTACAGAATTATATACTTTTGATTTTGTAATAAAAAGGGGTGTTATTTGTGCCAGACCATATACAGATATATTTGTGTGTGTGTGTGTGTGTGTGTGTGTGTGTGTGTGTGTGTGTGTTACAGAACAAACAAGGGGGGCCTGGGACAATATACTATTATTGAAAGAAGGCCCCGGGTCCATCATGTCCGCCGCCCGAGGAAAGACGTCTCTCAATGCCAGAGATTCGTGAAAAGGAAAGGAAATGTTTATTTAATGCTATACAAACTTAAAGTAGTGACCTAATGTCTTTATCAAAAATCCCAAAGTCCCTTTTAAAAACCCCACAAACAGACACAGTCCTTCCTTCCTTCCCCCTTTGCCCAGTCCAGAGTACCGTATCTCAGGAAAGGAAATGGAAGTCCATGGCTCAGGCAGTCCTCTGGTTCTTCCCAGTTAGTCCTTCATCTCGACTGGGAGACCTCCCTGGGTTCCCGGCACCCTCCACTGAGTCGCCGGGATCTCTGCTAAAACCAGGTGGTGGTTCCCCCTTCTAAAGCTGTGGGGGTCCCCACTCTGGCAAAGGCACGTGGTCCTCTCTCCCAAGGTTACGGAAGAGTCCTCACTCTGTCCAGGCCGCGTGGTTCTCCCTCTCTCAGGGCTGCACATGGTTCTCCTTCTCAATGGCTGCCGTGTCTGGGTTTAAATCCCCCGCGCCAGTCTTCCTCTGCAGCCCCATTTCCAACTCCTCCTACACTTGGGCACACTTGCCCTCAATCTGCTGTCTTCTCCAGCTTTACTGGGCTGCCATCGTGGGTCTGGGCAGGTGTCACCCCATGTCCTGGAGCCAATCTTCTCCCAGTCCCAGTCCCAGTCCCAGTCCCTCTCCCATTCCCAGTATCAGGCGCCGTAACTCAGGGGACCTGCCCCCCAGTCACATCTTGTGGGGGAGATCCCTTTCCATCCCCCTGGCCTTGAGCATGGCCATAGCTATTTAGCATATCTAAGTGACCAGCCAAAGGCTATAGGTATGCTAAATGATCATGCCATGGATTAGCTGCAAAGCTGACCTGCATGTTCTTGCTCTGTGTGCCCCTTCCCCCAACTCACACCTGTGGGGGAAGGGGTGAAGACACCTTAAAATCTCCTGGACACCTTGAGTTCTGGACCCCATTTCAAATGCTTATTTGGGGTCCCCCCTCTTGGCTGCACCCTGTAACATATGTACATTTTATAAAGGGGTTTTAGTTGTACTTCATATGAGAAATAGGAAAAATGATACACCTACTTCATCTTTCTGTTTAAATTATTTTCAAAGAAACTCTATTTCATCTAAGCTGCTGAATTTGTTTTACCATAAAGTTTCATCATACTTTGTTAGTCCTTTCAGAGTCTAAGGGACTTGCCATGCCATCTCTCCCATTCCCAGTATAGGTCATTTCTGCTTTCTCATTATACTCGATGTGTTTTGGTAAAGGTTTATCAATTTAAGTTTCCTTTCTAAATAATCAAATTATGGATTTGTTATTTTCAATCCTCATATTTTCTGTGTGTACTTCATTTTTCTTATTTTGTTTATTTTTATCTTTTATTATCTGAAGTAATTAATTTTAAACTAACATAAGCTTTGAAACGATATACATTTTCACAGCATTATCCAACAAATTTTTATATCCTTTTATTTCATTATCCTTAAGTTTAAAAAATCTCCTACTTTTATTTTTTATTAATTCATAAGATTTTGAAGTATGCTAGTTAATTTTAAACTTTCCAAGATACCTTATTTTAATGGAATTCTAGTATATTTCTATTATGTTCTGGAAAAATTTTTGTAACATTTCAGCTTCTTGAAATATATGAGACACATTGATTTGCATATTTTCTCTTTTAGTGAAGGATCCATGTTCTCTTTAAAATTACGTATTTTTTGTGGTTGTGAATATAGTACTCTTTATTAATTAGACTGTACTAATTACCTAGCTAATAGTGCTGTTCAAGACTTCTATAACTGTGCTGTTAACATTTTTCCTGGTTATTCTATCAGTTCCTAAGAGAGGTATGTTAAATCACCTGCCATAGGTGAATTTACCTATTTATCCCATAATGTTTATTAGTTTGTGTTTCATGTATTTTAAGCTTTATTACTAGGTGCATAACATTTAAGATTATGATGTTTTTATGATGCATACCTCACTATATTTCCAGTTGTATTTCTTACATAAAATCTATTTTTCTAATATTTATATAGCCATACTGGCTTTCTGATAAAGTATTTGCATGGTATGTTTGATTTTTTTTTATATTCAATTCTGTCTTTACAGTAATATTAAATACTATATGTTTCTTGGAATATAAATCCAACTTTTTAAAGGCTCTCTGGAAAGTTTTCTCTATATGATCTCCGCAATTTAATTTCTTCTTTAATTCTATTTATTCTACTATACATTCTACTTTAGTCTGTGTTTCAACTATTATGTTTTTAAAAAATTATTTATTTTTATTAAGTTTATTGGGTGGCAATGGTGAATAAAGTGTACAGTACCACAATACATCATCTATATATTGCATCGTGTGCACACCACCCAGAGTCAAACCTCCTGTTGATAGGGGACTCAAGACTTGGAAAGTTTTAGCTTAAGGTCAAAAGTTGTAAGTCTAGCAAGTAAAGTGTATGTTAAGCTTTTGTTTCAGAAACTACAGATAAGGCCCATCCTGGCTCCTGAGAAAAGCAGCTGACCTCCTGGGGTACTGGCTAGAGATTACCACCTGGGGACATGTTGGAGGCATCCCGGCCTTCTGTGTAACCAACACCCACCCCCCACCCCCCTTAGGAATAGCTAACTGCCGAGAACAGGAAGGCTGCAGCTTCACTCACCTAATCCTCCCTGAATTTCAAAGCCCTCAGCGCACCTTGCTTGTCCTCCCCCACCCGCCTTATACAAGATCTGGCCAGGAAAGAGAAGGCAAGATGGTTTGTTAGGGTATGAATCCGTCACCATCTTCTCGGATCGCCAGCCACCTGAGTAAAGTGCCCATAAAAGATTCAATCGCTGTCATTGCTTATTGGACTTGGCAGCCCGAACGCCGGTGTCTTTTCCGGTTACACTATCACCATGTATTTGACCACCTTTACCCTCTTCTCCCTCCCCTGAGCCCCACCCCCCACCCCCAACCAACAAGGCTAACAAACAAAGCCTCATAGACACAGATAACAGCATGGTGGTTAACTATTACATTTTTATGTCTAGTATTTTTCCTTGGATCCATTTTTTATGTTTTCTTGTTCTTGTTTCATATTTGGAATACCTTCCCTTGTACTTTTTAACATATTTGTTATTTGTTGGCCCTTCTTTTTTCATGTTTCTGCATAGGATGGAATCTGTAATGCAATATATTGTTTTTCTTTGAAAATGTTTGTTCCCTATTGGGTTGTTGTTTTGGTGATTTTTACATGACACTACCGCTTTTTCTATGAAGCAATGCATATAGAAAAGGACAACCTCAGATACTATCAGCTGCAAAAGCTTAGAGAGTGGGAAGTTGATCAATCTCCCACAGGGTGGAAATCCTCAAACACCAGAAAACCAGTCCATGACTCACCACTCACAGACAGCTCTGGGACAGAAGGTTACTTTCTGCCCCCAAGAGAACCAGCATCTGAAGATAAACTCTTTAGATGTTACTTCTCCTGTGGGTTTCAAGGGGCTGCGGTGAGTAAACAACTGTCAGGGATTAGTAAATCTCACTTCCCCAGGCTTCCTTCCTACTGCTGGAGAGCTCTGACTTTAATCTCAGACCCCAGGAGCAGTTTCAGTTGCTGCAAGTATACACAGACAGTGCCATGTGTGCAAGACAAAGCTGGCAAGCAGCCAGAGGGCGAAACTGATAGTATACCCTTCTGCTCTGTCACAGAACTACCAGGTGATTTCCTTTCCAAGCCAACCACGCAGGAAGTCTGCAAATGAAGCAATCCCACTGCCTCTCCTCCAGGGGATCTTCCAATTTCCTTAAATTCTTCTGGGACCAAAGAGAGCGGCAGCTGTGTCCTACCAGCAATTTGCTGGAAATCACTGGATTTATTTTTGTAATGTAAACAAGATAAACATGGCTTCTTTTCTCATTACATTTACTTAGAATCAGATCACCGGTCCTCTTTGTTGCCCCATTTGTGCTTCAAGAAGAAAGCAGAAGTTTGCCCAGACAGACCCTGTATCCTTAGTTGTGAGCCACTGTTGCAGGAAGCCCCACACACAGCTGTTGGAAGAGGACTTTGAGGCCCCCTGAGTGACAGAGAGATTCACCACCTGAAGAGAAATTAGAAAACTCATATCAGTATAAGTTCTATTGTGACATTATCTCTAGTTGCAACAAAATGAAAGGTATGACTATGTCTGGCAAATAAGCACATAAAATGTTCAACATTATTTATTATTAGGAACTGCATATTAAAACAATGATAAAATATCAGTACCCACCTGTTAGAGTGACCAAAATCCAGAGCACTGACAGTAGCAAATGCTGGCCAGTGCCAAGACTGGGAAGATCCAATGGGAAGCTGAAGCATCAGATGGAAGTCAAGAGAAAATGTAATGGAGATGTATAGGAGAGAATAAGAAAGAGTATAAGTAAATTACTTCATAAATAAATAGCGTTATGTGGGGAAGGTAGATAAATGCAGAGACAGACTCTATGGCTCTGCCAATAGCCAGCTTTTTACATTTAATAAATAATTTAAACTCTATGGGCATCTTTAAATTTTCTCATCTATGAAATGCAGTGAATTTATAACTTGTCAATTTCCAAAAAGGGTTTTCTAAGAAACGTGTAAAGGTAGTATGGTCTCATAAAAAGCAGTAGAAGAGAGATGTCCATGGTCTAAAAAGGGAACTCTCTGTGGAACATTTCATATGAGATACGTAGAGCAAATACTTCTGAGAGGTATGAGAAAGGAGGATGCTTATAATCATTGGAAAATGAATGCCTGGGAGGTTAGAGTGAATAGAAAGTAAGGGGGGTTGGCAGAAAAGGAGTGAATAATTTTAAAATCAACTCTGAAACAAAGTAGATAAAAAGAAATGGTATTGAAATCATATTCCCCTCAGTAGCAAATAACGACTCGAGATATAAGACAAATTGGCAGAGACATACCTAAGTGTTCTACTGATTTTTTCTCTGATCAGAAAAATTATTGACAGAAAAGAAATTATGCAACCCTGTGAATTGGGGAATGGTTCAAACAAATTTCCTGGGTCTATATGGTGTTTTTTCCTTTTACTGACTTATCCAAGTAATAAATGTAACTTCAATCTGTTGCTATTTCAAATGTCTTTTTCCTTGTAGTAATCAGAAGCCACAAATACCAGGAGGTTCAAATTTGAAGAACAATTCAAACAGCTACCACTCTTTTATTATAGAAATTAGCAAGTCAAAAGACTTTTTTGTCTAAATGCAAGAAAAGTTCACAAGTGTGAACACATGTACATGCAGACAACAGTAGTAAAATTCTAGGTAAGATTTTAGTGTCAGTTCAAATATCTGATGCTTTTCACCCTCTATTAAAAAGAAAAGAATTACAAAAATATAGGAAGTTAAAGGATTGAGTGTGACGGTCAATGAGTAAATTATGGCCCAAACATCAGAAATAGATGTTATTTTTCCTTGGGAAGCCAACAGGGAATCTGAATGTGGGACAGATGATTCATTTAAACCCATCCCCATCCCTTACATACGTAGAACAAGAGTGGCTCATGCCTCAAAACAAAGCCCTTCTAGAGAATTCTCTACAAGCAATGAGGGATGCAAGAGCCCGAGAAGCAGCACAGAGGCTAAAGATGGGCACCCAAAACAAGGCGTCAAGGAGAAATTCAGTGCAAAGGGAAAGCAACTCTCAGGAAGGAAATGAAATGAAGACTTCTCTCCTCATGAAAGAGGGTGTAGACTGCGGGGGTGCCCCCCCCCCAAGCCTCCACAAACCTTGGTTGAGGGATGGGGGAGAGCAGATGATAGAATTAGATACTTTACATTACAATGACAACTTGGTAGCTTCAGTAGCTAGTTTAATAGCTGTGCTACTGTCTGGGGCAAGGTGGGTGTGACTTTCAGACCGTATGCTGACTTGTGACTAGCCAGGGGAGGTGGTTCTCCCTGGATCACTGAGTCACTCTTGCCCTGACTGGGGATGGCAGCAGAGTATAGTAAACTATACAGAAAACTGGCAAACGTGGCTCATAGTGGGAGGAGTCAGAGATGAGATTACTCAGGAGGCTCTGGGTCAGAACTTAAAACAAAGGGCAGGCAGCTTTAGGGAAGGAAGGAGCCATGCTACCAGCAGTGAAATAGCAGCTATGCAGTTTGTAGGGATTATTCAGGCATGTGGCCTGGTGTAATAAGGGAAAGAATGGCATGTTGCTACTCCGATCATGCCTGCTGTAGCTGCCATCAAGGATCCTGTCTTGCAAGACACTGACCTGTTGCCTTGCAAACCCGAACTCTATCTGGATACTTGGAACTTGTGCCTTTCCTGGACTTCACCATGATCCAGTGTAACATGGCACGTGCTTTCCTGGACTATAACATGGAGGCTGATGACAACGTACCCCAGATCCTGAAGGAGAGAACTGCCACATGAGGATGGCAACTTTGGTACCTTCCAGAGTGATTGGAGAACTGTTGGTGCAACTGGCTTAAGATAAGGAAATAGGGAACTACTGAGCTTGGTTTTGATTTATAGCCTTTTGAGGAACAAGGGAAGTGCTAGGTCTCGTGGGAAAGGAGGGCTCCAATCATAAGTGCTCTGAGTTGGAATATTGTAAATAAAAACCTGTATTGATTGTTGGGTCATTCACCAAGGCACTATGTGAATGGGTCCCTGTCTGCTCAGTTACACCCATTGCAAACTACTCTTCACCCTGGCTATGAGAGGTGAGGATCCCCACTCTGGCTGTCCCCACCCTGATGGCCTGTAGGGAGATGTGTCTATCTGCTGACAGAGCTCATAGCCAGATCTCTCATCAGGAGAGCCTATTGGTAGGTACAACAAACACACACATATGCAGACAAAATCCATGTGAGCTAGGTCAAGGCAATCTAATTTCATATTCAACAAAAGATCACATACACTAAAGAAAAACAACACAATGAAATACAAGAGACAAGGTGAAAAAACAGAACAGTCCAACTCAAAAGAAATAGAGATAATTCAGAATACAGAATTAAACCTACAAAACAAACCTGTTGTATTCTTAGAGAGTTTTATGAGGATGTTATATCTATAACTAAGTCAAGGCAGGCATGAAAATGGAACACTCAGAAAACAAGGAAGTTTGGGGAATTAAAATATTACAAATATAAAATTTGAGGAAGTTGTTTTGTATGTAGAGTAAATGCCCAAGAATGTGGAAAATAAGGTTTAAAAGTTGTTAAAGAGCCCTGACTGGTGTGGCCCCAATGGATTGGGGCTTTGTTCCACAAAGCGAAAGGTCACTGGTTTGACTCCCAGTCAGAGCACTTGCCCGGGGTTGTGGGTTTGGTCCCAGGTCAGTGCACGTGTGAGAGGCAACCAATTGGTGTTTCTCACGTTGATGTTTGTCTCCCTCTCTTTCTCCCTCCCTGCCCCTCTCTCTACAAATAAATAAGTGAAATCTTTTTCTAAAAGCTGTCATAGAAACTTTGAAGATAAATACTGCAGATTCAGTATCTACAGGACAGGAATTTCAAGGGGAGAGAAAAGAGGCCACAAAATCTTTTGTTACACTAAATAAAAGCTTGGAAAAGAAAAGCAATTTCTCAGGTAGACATGAAATGTTACCTACAGAACACCACGGAGGAGTTCCTGCAGAGAGGAGGGGCCCAACCCTCTTTGCACTGACACTGGAGCTCATGGTCACACACCTGGGGGATCAAGGATCCTGTCAGTTTGCACATTAGACTGTCCACTGGTAGAGGGCCTACCCATCCACTGTAAGTCCATTCTGAAAAAAGAATAACCCCATTCTGTGTCTTTCCACTATCTACATAAAAACAAAGTAATGATAGGAATTTCACATACTAGTTCATACTAGGTTCTTAGAAGAACTTTTTCACTCAAATACCCTATTGAGGGGTTAGACAAACTTAATCATTTTAATCATTTCACCCTGAAACATTCTTTTACATCATCAAAACTGACTTAAAAATTATGTAAGATTCAGCAAGCTTGGGGAAACATTTTCAAAACTTACAGCGTGTCCTTTGCACCTAGATGAGCAATTGGTCGATTTGAAGGCTTTCTCAATATCCACACATTCTGCTTCAATGCAAACCTGAAAAACATGATGGGACACTAAGGTCCAAAAGTGTCAGCTCTGCAAATTTCTGTCTGTTTGGAATTTGGCTTTATATTATTAGCCACTATTTCCAATATCAAACTTGCCTTTCTATTAGGGAAATCACAGCATTCTTTTGAAAATAGGAAGGGGGGATATAGATACTTTTTATTTAATATGTTATTAAATATTAACATATTTACAAAATCCTCTTAAAGATTCCCTTACTTCATTCAAAATGCTTCTGCTTCATTTATCAGGGGTCAGTGCACATAGCACAAAGTACCCTTTCCAACCAAAGATATTATGAAAAGTATGTTAATATCATATCTTCTGTAGCATTTATAATGATCATTCATGTAAAAATAAATAGTATTGTTAATCTCTTTATTATTATCAGAGTGACTAGCATTCATTGAAAACCTACCAGTTTGGAGACAATAAAATTTACCTAAGTTTAACAATCTTGTGCCAAGCATGTAATAGGTACTTATTAAGTAATACTGAAGGAATAAATGCAGGCAGGCATGAATGAATGGCATAAGCATTGCTTTGAAAATTGCTCCTATGAAACAAATACAAAGAGGCCTTGAAAACAAACAAAAAACCCCTATTTGAATAAAAATCACAATTTCAACTTACCTTCTTATCTCCACACTTGGTTCCGTTGGCTACCATGCCTATTTCTTGACTCTTGTCTTCAGGGTCAAATGCTTTACATGTCAAGAAAGTTATTACAGATCCTTTCTGGTGCAAGTTGTCTGACCCACCTTGACAGAACAACTTCCCACACATGACATCACTGAGGAAAAGCCAAAATTTGCTGCCGTTGAGAACCAGGATCCAAGTTGCAGTTTTATACAAATGTTGATAGCTCCCTGACTATCATAATTAACTAATGGTTTTTCTCCCCATAGCACAGACTCCTGGTTCTTTATATCAATTTCCCCCGATTCTTCAGTAATAGAACCACTGAATATGGAAAAGCACATTGTTGCTGTAGCAACATATTTAATATAAAAACACATTTCCCAGTTTCCCATGAAGCTTATTTTGGCCAATCGCCTAAGCTTTAGCCAATAGGAAGGAAGCAGAGTCTTAAGTACAATACAAATGCTTGAAAGTACCCTTACTTTGGTGGGGGGTTTCCTTTTTGCTTATTGGAAAGTGACACTGGGGCTGGGGGAGCAAACATAGACCAAAGAAACACTTGGGAGAGGAGGTCATATGTGTGATGGAGCTAGAAAATATTGAAGAATGGGATTCTAACATAATGGAGGACACCTAGGAAATCAATTTCTATTTTATTTTAGCTAATGTTCCTTATTTATTTTCATGAGTTGCAGCAGAATAATTCTCTCCGCTGTGGTTGGGTCAATACAAAGCTGAGCTTTGGCTGATCCTCCAAGGCACCCCCAAAGAACGATCTCCCTGCAAATTCAGGTGAAACTGCTCGGCCGGCACTCAATAAAGCCATTCATTTACCACCAAGGAGAGTAAGGTCAATGTCAATAAAACCGCAGTGCATTCCTTTATGCAGAATTCAGAAGAGGGTTGTGAAAAAAGTATTCTGGGTACACATAGAATCACATTCTTCTGATGTCTTTGGTGGTTGTTAATAAATATGATTGAGGAGTGGAGAAAGCCATGCATTCTCTCCAAACTTGAGAGGGTGTTTTCTGGAATCATTTAGGTGAAGATTCTAGGGTACTGGGAATTATAGGGTTCCTCTCCACTCCAGCCAGTTAATATGAAGAAGTGACTAGAAAGGCAGCCTGTGGGGAGAAGAAATACTTGTGCCTCTAATGACAGAAATTATTCAGTGCCGAGACAGACGGTAATACAGGACAGTGGTGTGTACGCATGCTGCAGAGGAAAAATGGAACTACCCTATGCTCTTTTCCCACTCTCTGCCTCTCATACTACATATCGCTCTTCCCGTCCCCCCAAATATTTCCTTTTACATATTTCCCCCCTTTGAATCTACTCTGATTTTTTAAAAAGGAGAAAGCACAGAATATGATGGTCCATCCTATAGGCCCAACTGCCCCAAGAGATGACCTTATGGCCAAAATATAGTTTGTTTAGAAAAACTAAACATATGTGTATTTGTGTATACACATGCATATGTATGTATATATGTGTAATATCAATCATCTATAAAAATTAGTGTTTAATAGAAAAATTTGAGAAATGTTGATCTTGTTTAACCTCTTCTTGTACATGAACTTAAATGTGTAAAATATGGAACAGGTATACAAGTAGTTTATTGTCATTTGAATTTTTAATGTAATTTTAAAATTGCACGATCAAAAAATCCTATAGAAAGATCTCAAATTCATTGTATGTAATAGTCTATGATTCTTCTAGAGTATCACTATAAAAATTAAAACATTCTTCAGGTGAATTGTCAATGTTTTCTCTTACTGCTTTTTTTCTTTATATAATTTCATGGCAAGTTTAAATTAAATAAAACTGTATAGGCATTTTATTGGTTATTTCTCTAAGTCAGTAAATATTTGTGCCACTAGACTCATAATCAAAGACATTGGATGGGAAAATACCTAAAATATCCTGGAAAATCATTGGACACATTTTCAACCAGGCCCATTCACTCACACTGCATGTTCCATCTCAAACATTCCTTCTATTCATTAGTGATTGTACTTGGTGTCATCTGAAACACCTACCAAGAATGACTTGAAAAGAGGGATCAATTCTTATTTCTCTTGTTAACTCAGTGTCTAGCTTGAAACACGGCACGTAGTAGTCATTCAGTGACTATCTATCATGAATGACGTCTAAATTCATTTTCTCTCTAAATGAAATAAATCAGAATGTGTGGCTGGATGTATGCAAGTTCCCTAGTCTGTGGAGCAGAAAGGTTCAGACAATAAGGCCACTTACTTTGCTTTACAGGGAATGTGTGTGTCGCCCACTTTGCGGCAGTACCCATACCGTAACCCATTTGTGTTCTTGCTGTAACATGACATATCTGCAACCTCAGCTCCTGGGCCAGGCATGATCAATAGGGACATATTTGAAAAAAAAAAAAGAGAAAGAAAGTTCAATGCAGCAAAGGGTCAATGGGCTATAAAACCAACAGCATAGGGACTATAGTTAATAATATTATAATAACTATGTATGGTGCCAGATGGGTATTCAAAATAATGGGGTATTGCTGTGTAAATTACATGATTGCATGACCGCTGTACTGTACACCTGAAATTAATACAACATAGTGCTGAATGGAAACCGTAATGGAAAATTAAAATTTAAAAAAATACCATCATCAGAAATACTATTTTAACATACAGTCATACATTGCTTAATGGCAGGGTTGCATTCTGAGAAATGCACCATTAGGCAATTTTTTCATTGTAGGGATATCACAGAGTGCACTTACACAAACCTAGATGGTATAGCCCACTATACACCGAGGCTGTATGGTCTAGCCTACTGCCCCAGGCTACATGCCTATACAACATGTGCTGAATACTGTAGGCTATTGTAACACAGTGGTAAGTGTCTGTGTATCCAAACATGAAAAAGATGCAGGTCTTCTTGTTGGATTGTTCCCTTTCTTATTATGTACTGCCTTTCTTTTTTGAAAATCTACTTTGTTGGATATAAGTGCTGCTACCCCAGCTTTTTTTCTTTTCCATTTGCATGAAATATCCTTTTCCATCCCTTTACTTTTAGTCTGTGTGTATCTTTTGATCTGAGATGGGTCTCTTGGAGACAGCATATATATGGGTTTTGTTTTCTTATCCATTCAGCTAACCTATGCCTTTTGGTTAGAGCATTTAAGCCATTTATATTTCCTAAAACTATATTTTATTGATTATGCTATTAGAGTTATCCCTTTTTTTCTCCCCTTTATTCCCCTCTGTGCTGTACCTCCCATCCCACCATCATTCCCCCACCTTAGCTCATGTCCATGGTTCATACATATAAGTTTTTTGGCTTCTCCATTTCCCATACTATTCTTAACCTCCTCCTATCTATTTTGTGCCTACCATTTATGCTTCTTATTCTCTGTACCTTTTCTTCCATTTTTCCCCTCCCACTCCCCACTGATAACCCTCCATGTGATCTCCATTTCTGTGAATCTGTTCTTGTTCTAGTTGTTTGCTTAGTTCATTTTTGTTTTTGTTTTTTTAGGTTTGGTTGTTGATAGTTGTGAGTTTGTTGTCATTTTACTGTTCATATTTTTTATCTTCTTTTTTTTCTTAGATAAGTCCCTTTAACATTTCATATAAGTGCTTGGTAATGATGAACTCCTTTAACTTGACCTTATCTGGGAAGCACTTTATCTTCCCTTGTATTCTAAATGAGAGCTTTGCTGGATAGAGTAATTTTGGATGTAGGTCCTTGTCTTTCATGACTTCGAATATGCTTGCCAGCCCCTTCTTGTCTGCAAGGTTTCTTTTGAGAAATCAGCTGACAGTCTTATGGGAACTCCTTTGTAGGTAACGGTCTCCTTTTCTCTTGCTGCTTTTAAGATCCTCTCCTTACCTTTAATCTTGAGTAAGGTAATTATGGTGTGTCTTGGTGTGTGCTTCCTTGGGTCCAACTTCTTTGGGACTCTTGAGGTGCCTGGACTTACTGGAAGTCTATTTCCTTTGCCAGATTGGGGGAGTTCTCCTTCATTATTTTTTCAAATAAGTTTTCAATTTCTTGCTCTTCCTCTTCTCTTTCTGACACCTCTGCGATTCTGATGTTAAAATGCTTAAAGTTGTCCCAGAGGGTCCCAAACTTCTCTTCGTTCTTTTGAATTCTTGTTTGTTTATTCTGTTCTGGTTGAATGTTTATTTCTTCCTTCTGCTCCAAATTGTTGATTTGAGTCCTGGTTTCCTTACCTTCACTGTTGGTTCCCTCTACATTTCCTTTTATTTCACTTTTCATAGCCTTCACTTTTTCCTCTATTTTGTGACCATACTCAACCAATTCTTTGAGCATCCTGATTACCAGTGTTTTGAACCATGCATCGGATAGGTGAGCTATCTCTTTGTCACTTAATTGTATTTTTTCTGGAGCTTTGATCTGTTCTTTCATTTGGACCAAATTTTTTGTCTTAGCATGCCTGTTACATAGTAAGAGGTGGAGACTTAGGTATTCGCTAGGGAGGTGCAATTCATGAACATGGGTTCATGTTGCTGTGTTGTAGCAATGTATGTGGGGGAGAGGCCTGAGAGAGAACAAAGCCACTTGCTCAGCTCTTGGTTGGCTTTCAGTCACTTCCTCTGCTACTTACAAGCAAATTGAGCCCTTCTAGTGCTGATTCCTAGGTGGGTAGGTTTGTGTACCTTCTAGGAGTCAGTGGGTCTCTCCAACAAACTCTCCTGTGAGGCTGGGAGTTACTCCTGCTGCCTCAACTCCCACAAGTTTTTTTCAGTCAGAGGTCTTGAGACTTTATTTCCCTGGGTTCCACTGGAACCCTGGGTTGCATGGTCTGTCTTGCTCCCCAGTTGTTCCTACCAGTTTATTCTCATGCAAATGTGGGACCATCAGGTCTGCCAGCAGCCACCTCACTTGCCCTGGTCCTCTAACCACCACCTTGCCATGAGTCCTCTCCACCCTGGCTGCCTGTCTCTGGCCCTCCTACCAGCCTGGATGAATGTTTCTTCTTTAACTCCTTGGTTGTTGGACTTCCACACAGTTTGATTTTTCCAGCAGTTCTGGTTATTTTTTGTTTTTAAATTTGTTGTCCTTCTTTTGGTTGTGCAAGGTGGCAAAGTGTATCTACCTATGCCTCCATCTTGGCTTGAAGTCCATTTACATTTAAAGTGATTATTGATAGATATGTATGCAGTGCCACTTTATCTCACACCTGTCAGAATGACTATCATCAATAAATCAACAAACAAGTGCTGGCGAGGATGTGGAGAAAGGCGAACCCTTTTACACTGCTTGTGTAAATGCAGATTGGTGCAGCCATTGTGGAAAGCAGTATGGAGATACCTCAAAACATTAAAAATGGCTCTTCCTTTTGACCCAGCAATCCCACTTCTGGGAATATATCTGAAGGGACTAGAAACACTGATTCAAAAGAATATAAGCACCCCTATGTTCATTGTAGCATTATTTACAATCACTAAGATATGGAAGTAGCCCAAGTGTCCATCAGTAGATGAGTGGATAAAACAACTATGGGATATTTACACAATGGAATACTACTTGGCCATAAAAAAGAAAATTTTACCCTTTGTGATAGTATGGATGGACCTAGAGAACATTATGCTAAATGAAATAAGCCCAGTCAGGGAAAGACAAATGCCAAATGATTTCACTCATATGTGGAAACTAATGAACAAACTGAATTAACAAGGAGAACAGAGACAGACTCATAGTTGGAGAGCAGATGACAGCTAGTCGGGGGATAAGGTTAAGAGGTGGAGGGATTGAGCAAATAAGGGGTTGAAGGATTGCAGAAGGATCTAAGGGAACTAAATAGCAATGGAAAAAATACAATAAAGATTAAATAAGAAATAAATAAAAGGTACAGTAATATTACACTATAAATGACTAAAAATGGTGAACCTGTGTAGGGAACTTACCATGGACGGAAGTTGCAGCACCAGGAGTGGCTCCGGTGGCGTTAGTGGGCGGGGAGAGAGTGTGAAGGCCTAGGATGTGACTGTGCAACACTGCAGACTTTGTAAACACTGGGTGCTTAGGCTACACTAAATCTATTTAAAAAATACTTTTCCTTCTTCAATAATAAACTAAACTTAGCTTACTATAACTTTATTTTATAAACTTTTTATTTTTAAAACTTTTAAACTATTTTATAACAACACAGCTTAAAACACAAACTATTGTATAGTTGTACAAAAACTTTTTTCTATATATCCCTGTTCTAGAAATTTCTATTAAAATCTTTTTTTTTAAACTTGGGTCAGGATCATTATCACTGTCTCCCACCTCCACACCTTGTCCCACAGGAGGGTGTTCAATGGCAACAACATGCAGGGAGCTGTCATCTCCTATGACAACAGTGCCTTCTCCCAGAACACCTCCTGCTGGAGGAGCTTCTTGAGAAAGTTATCACTCTTCAGAAATACGTCCATGGTGGTTTGCTTGGCTTCTCTTCTTCATCATACATTTGCTTATAAGCAGACAATGCATCATGAGCATTCCTCTCTATTAATGAAAACCTTTCAGTGGTAGCATCCCTGTTTCCTGACTTTTCAAGAAGCCTGCTGAAATCTGCAAAAGCTTCAGCTAAACCCTTCACTGCAAATGTTCTTGGGGGGGGGTCTTCTTTTCCTTCTCCCAGTTTTTTCTCTTTCCTATTTTCCAGCTATGCATTCCTGTTCCAGTTCCAATGATCCAGTCATTGGTCATTGGTCAGTCCCTCAGAAACTACCTCCACATGTGCCTCAGTGTCATCCTACCCCCCGCCCCCCGGTGGAAGGCATTTGCCGTCTCCACCACTGTCTCAATTGCTGCAGCCTCCTCATCCTTGGCAAATCTTGTGAAGTCATGGGTGAATCTCTTGAGTGTCTTCTTTCCAGATGCCATTCATACTCTTCTTGGTGACATCACCCCAAGCCCAAGGAAGGTTCTTAATGCTGTCAGAGATACTTTAATCCTAAGCATCTTTTTGGTGTCTTCCTCAGTTGCAACAACTACCTGGGCAAGGGTCCTCCTCAGGTAGTAGGCCTTAGAGGCTGCTATACCTCTTTGACTGTTGGATCAAAGAGGTGGTGTTTGGAGGGAGAAACATACTTTGTTGTCAGGATGAAGATCACCACTAAAAGGAGGATGCCCAGGAGCTTTATTACCAATAAGCAAAATCTTGAAACATATGCTAGGCTCCAAACAGCACTTCTCCACATCACTGGCACAGCAACCCAGGAAGGGATCTTGGACGAGGAGCTGGGTCAGCCATGACCTCCTATTGCTCCTGTAGCGCACTGGCTGGGTGTGCTTGCTGAAAAGCTCCAAGGCCCTGGGGTTTTCCCTATGCCAGACCACAATGGGTTTCCATTTGTGGCCTGTAACACTGCCCCCAACCAAGACTGTCAACCCGTCCTTAGAACCTTGAAACCTGACACTGACTGGCCCCCTTATGGATGAGAGTCCTTTCAGGCACCCATTTCCAGAGTAGGGAGCTTTCATCCATATTGAATATTTGCTCTGTCAAGTAATTTTCCTCCACAATCAGCTTATCTAGAGTTTTCAAAAAAATTTAGCTGTTTTCACATTAGTAACTTGCATACTCACCACTCACATTCACATTATGTAATGAATAACAACTCTCGGATCATTTAAACCAACCCACGCTAGCCATAAATTCAACATCATCATTTCAACATCACAAACAATTTTTTTGCTTTGGACATAATTGTCACAGTGTTGAGAAAAGCACACTTCTGTGTCTGTTCTTCAGTCCAGGTCATTAGAAGTTTCTCCCTATCTGATATAAGTCCTTTTTGAATATTTTTCTTTTTTTAATTAAATGTATTGGAGTAACATTTGTTAATAAGATTATTTCAGTTTCAATTATAGAATTCTATACTACATCATCTGTATATCATACTATGTGTTTACCACTCAAAGTAAAATTATTTTCCATCACCATATATTTAATCCCCTTTACCCTTTCTATCTCCTAACCCCTTCCCTCTGGTAACCACCATGCTGTTGTCTGTGTCTATGAGTTTTTGTCTTGCTTGCTCATTTGTTGCTTTCAGTTTTATATCTCATATAGTATTGAAATCATATTGTTCTCAAATTTGTGTTAGTCTCATTGCCTTCAAGGAAGCAGACTCTTTAACAGCTTCTATCATTTTGTTCTTGTTCTTCAAGATAGTTGCCGTGGTGGAAGGGGACATGCCCAACTGGCAAGCAACAACTACCACCGACTTCCCACCTTCATCATCCTTATTCACTTCTATCCCCAGGTGAGTCCTCTGATGTGGCCTCTTACTGGCAACATTAGCAGTGGATTTTATACATTTAAGAGCCATGATGAACAACACATGAGAGTAAATCAATAACACAAGAAAATGAAGCATTACATAGACACAGTAGACAGGAGATGTCTGAGACAGACTCTTGTACGGCAGACTTTTCTTAAAAGCAGAAAGAGAACACTAAAATAAGGACGAGATGGATACTAGAGTAAATGTATAAACCAATGAGGCAATTATTTATTATCATTATCAGTATTATGTCCTGTGCATAACTGCATGTGCTACACTTTTATATAACTGGCAGGGCAGTGTGTTTACATCAACATTACCACACACATGTGAGTGATGTGTTGTGCTATGACATTATGATGGTTATGACATCAGCATGTAATACACAATTTTCAACTGCATTAAATCTAATTCAAATCTAATTCAGCCACCTTAGGATATGTGGTTTGTCAATGACCGAAGTGTCATTATGCAGCACATGATGTAATCCCATTGGAAAGTCTCAGAACCAGAGCCTGCAATAACTTAATATCAAGAGCTGACTGGAGCCCTGGCTGGTGTGGCTCAGTGGATCAAGTGCCAGCCTGTGAACCAAAGGGTCACCAGTTCAATTCCCAGTCTAGGCATATGCCTGGATTGTACAGGGACAGGTCCCCAGTAGGGGAAGTATGAGAGGCAACCTCACATTGATGTTTCTCTCTTTCTCCCTCTCTTCTCCTCTCTAAAAATAAATAAATAAATTTTTTTTTAAAGTGAGCTGGCTGGAGTTAAAAACAATCTTTTAAATCTATTTTTGAATAATGGCTATCTTACTATTTGAAAACATCTGGATGGTTTGCTGAAAGTTGAGAGAAATCTATGTAGCTATGAAGATTTAGACAGGAGAGCTGCAGTCTTTGTGTTAACACCCAACAGGCAGATGGTGAAATGCTATCTTGCTGCTTCTACTATGACAACGACATGGTATGCTTGGTCAGACTCCTGTTTTGCCAGGAACAGTAATGAGCATCATATTTAATTTCTCATGTAATCTCCCTCTAATCCCCATCAGCTAAGCAAGAAAACATGGTGCTTAACAGCTCAAGTGTTAAGAAAGACTGAGCAGCTGTGTGATCTTGGGCAAGTGCCTTAACCTTGTGGTTTTCTCAGCTATAAAATGAGAATATGTAAGAGTGCCAACTTCATAAGGTTGTTGTGAGTGTTAAATGAGTTAATATACATGAGCCAATAAGAAGAGTGGATAGTGACTAGTAAGTGGTTGAGAAATATTAGCCATTGTTATTACCATGTCCACTTTACCAATAAGGAAATGGAGAATCATATTGATGAAGTCACAGAGAGAGATGAAAAACCAGATTGCCCACCCAGTTCTGAGTCTAATACTTATGCTCCTATTCTGTGTGAGATGCCCCTCTTAAATTTCAATAAATAGCATAGGAAAAATTTGAATTCAGTCTTTCAAAAACCAAAATAGGTTAAAATAATTAAAAATCTATGAAGACATTACACTGGTTTTAAGAAAAATCATTGAACTTCTTGTAATTATTTGTAAACTCAAACCATTTTAAGGGAATTTATGTCTCAATGTTCAAGATGATGGAACTAGTTTATTACCATATTTTCTCAATTATTTGTATCATAGTAGCATTAGTTCCTTACTATACAAAATATCTACACTGAAAATTGATTGAATAATTTGGCATTAATAATTTGTAAAAAGCATATTCTTTTTTAACCACAGTTTACATTCCACACCCTTCTGCACCATTTTCAGATGTACAGCAAAGTGGCCAACAAACTATGCACTCTACAGAATGGGCCCCAGGCACCCACCTGGCCCGTACTCTGTTAGCTCCACATTATTGATGACATTCTCTGTGCAGTACCCTGCACCTCTGTGGCTGTTCTGCAGCTACCCACCTGGACTGCTCGATGCCTTCGCCTTTTTCACCCAGCCCCCCACCTCCCCTCCCCTCTGACAGCTGTCAGAATGTTCTCTGTCTCTATGAGTCTGTTTCTGTTTTGTTTGCTAGTTTATTTCATTCATGATATTCCACATATAAGTGAGAACATATGGTATTTGTCTCTCTCTAACTGGCTTATTTCACTTAGCATCATACCCTCTAGATCCATCCATGCTGGAAAAAGCATATTCTTAATCCCAAACTTCAGAGTTACTATGGCTAATATTGCAGAAAGTAGCATCCATATACCTGGTATCACAGTGCTTCATAAATTACTTTTTCCCAATTAACTTGTCCTTTCCCCAGGTATGAAATATTGTACAATATCATAGTTGTAAAAAAATCCATTGGATTGATACACTATAATTTATTTGACTAACCCTTATTCTTGAAGTTTCCCAATTATCCACTATTACTTTTTAAAAATGATGGATGAAATCCTTGTAAATAAATATTCCTGGGTACAACTTTTAGAAAAAGGATTACTTTTTTCATGTTGTATACAGGGGTTGGCAAAAGTAGGTTTACAGTTGTGAGTTCTTTTTTTTTTCAATCTTTGCACAAGGATCTGTTCTTTTTATTGATTTTAAGAAGAGAGAAAGAGACAGAGACAGAGACAGACATTGATGTGAGAGAGAAATATTGACTGGTTGAGTCCCAGAGCAGGGCTCAAACCCACAACCTTGGTATATTCTCTGGCTGGGAATGGAACCCTCAGACTTTAGGTGTACAGGACAATGCTTCAACCAACTGAGTACCTGGCCAGGGCACAGAGTTTATTCTCATATTATTATTTATTAATTATTGTCTTATTTCCCATGCAAACAATTGTAAACCTACTCTTGGCCACCCTGTATGCATTTCTCCAATTCTCTCTGAAAAGATTATGCTAATTAATATTCTTACCAGTGTGTGAAATCAGACATTTTGTCACATCCTCATCAACACTAAGCATTAACTGTAACCCAGAGTTGCCAGTTTAACTGGTGTAGAAGATTTACTTGTTTTTATTCATATTTTTTACTATATTTGCACTCGATGTACTAGTGGTATTGACCTTTGCTCCCCACATTGAGTCTCAGCCCACCCTTGCCTGACACATAGGGGAATTTTTCTAGATGCTTGTCCATTTATTTCCCAGGTTTCATTTATCTTAGGTATAGTATGAGTCAATAATTATTGTCGTTTTCCTTAATCTTGTCCCTTGTATATTTTTAGGAATGATAAAATGTTTCTGAATCCAGTTACATTAGAATCTCAGATACACAAAAAGTACTTTTTATTATGAGTTTGCCTCAAATACTGCATGAGACATACAGATACGATAAAAGATTTTTAATCTGAGATTAAAATTTCACTGGGCCATTCTTATTTTTATTTGCTATATCTAGCAAGCCCAAATTGACCATACACCCTAAAATGCAGCGGTACAGTTTCTAAGAAAAAAGAACAGGACAGAAGGCTACTTGGGCCATGATTCAACGCTGTCACTTGGAATAAGGTGATGTTTTTTGTTTCTTTTTCTTTTGAGCATGTGTGTGGAGAGAGGTGGGCATGCCAGCAGCACTGGGGTGTGTCTCCCTACCTGGTCCCCAGAGCTCAGAGCACTGTGCCTGCAGCGTGGGGCACAGCCCCATCAGGCAGTAGCCCTTCCCATTCTGGCAAGGGAAGCCATTGACTTGAAATCGGTCATCAGGGCAAAGAGCGGACTGACCATCACACATTTCTGGCAGATCACACTCATCTTTTGCTGGTCGGCACACTGTACCACCTTTTTTAATCTGCAGAGGAAAAAAGGATACAAGGCTTTTATTCACCTCACCTACCACATATCTCCAATTGATGCAAATGATATTTTCCCTCTGTCCTTTTATTGTCGAGGTAGTTAGGGGCATTATTCTATTCCAGTTTACACTTATACTGTATAAGGTACAGTCATCTTCTATTGTGTCATTTCCATTGACTTTGACCATGCCCTAATTCTTTAATCAATCAATATTTCTGGATTTGGAGGGCAAACACTACAGAAATACCAAAGATACAAATGCAGACAAAAACCAAGCAACATCTGAGATGCAAAGAAGGAAATTATTTATCCCTTTGTGGAATGCATCTTTGTCAAGACTTTCAAAGAGGTTTCAATGTGTAACCACAGAGATTTGTTGGTGAAGTGGATCTCCCATGTTAATAAGAAAGATAAGCTCACCAGCATCCGGTCAGCATGCTCTGAGAGGATCTCAGGCATCATGTTTCCTAATTCTTAATTCCTTTCATATATTTCTTTTCAACTCACTTCTTTTTTTTTAATTCTTTTTTTAAGATTTTATTTATTTATTTTTAGAGAGGGAAGGGGGGGAGATAGAGAGAGAGAGAGAGAAACATCAATGTGCGGTTGCTGGGGGTTATGGCCTGCAACCCAGGGATGTACCCTGGCTGGGAATCGAACCTGGGACACTTTGGTTCCCAGCCCGTGCTCAATCCACTGAGCTATGCCAGCCAGGGTCAACTCACTTCTTATGGAATAATTTATAATGAAGAAGAAATATCCAAATATTCATTCGATGTATTAATTCCATTACAATCTACTACTGTGAATCTTGCTCTTATTTCCTGAGAGAAATCTTAGTAAACCAAGGTTTTACTGTGTGGACACAGGACACGTTTCTTCCCTAGCTGAAGGGAGCAGGTAGTCTCGCAAGTTACCCAGACACTTTCAATATTTTTATGCTGGTGACAGAATAAAATCCAAACTCACTGGAGTGTATGAGGCCCCCCAAGTTGCTCCAGCCAGACAATTTCTATACTATGCTTATACCTTTTGTGCTGTCTTTGTTCTTTCTCTCAATGTCCTTATTTGGAAAAATTTTCTCTTTTGGTTGATTCTCTAAAATCTGCTCATTGATTTCCAGACTAGTCTGAAAGGCTCCCATTCCATGAAGCCTCCCTGCCTTCTTCCATACACGCAGCTGCGCCTCTCTTCTGTGCGCGGTAGGAAAGGCGGCCGAACTGGCCAGAACACACATTTGGGAGATGCAGATTTGAGCCTTGGCTCTGCCAGTGACTAAATGTGTCACCTTAGAAAATGGATTTAATCTCTCTGAAAATCCATGTTCCCATCTAATATTTAATTTACAAGTTCATTGTGAAAATATAAGTAAAAAGATTTATATGAAGGATATGTACCATTACAATATCTACCTGGGCATTCAGTCACACATTCTATTTTCACCAGTTTCAGGTATGTATAGCATTGTCCTGAGCAAGTAGCAAATTCTTCGAGGTCAAAGACCGCTTTTTTTTTTTAACATCTCTCATAATAGCTAGTAAATAGAATGTAATACACACTTGTTGAATACTACATAAGTTCTCAAATTTTCTTCCTGTTAGCCTCCTTTATTTCTTTTCTATCCCTAATTGACATTAAAAAAAACTTTGTCCCAAACCCTACCTATAACCTGGTATACAATCCACACATTCTTTCTAAAAATAGTTATTGAGCATTTAAAATATATTAAATTCTGTGCTAGGTGAAGGTTTCAGTCCCCTGCCCTTAGGAGTCATTCTAACAAAGGACACAGACACACAAATAAATAATTGTTATAAACAATGGAATACAAAATGTTGAATACAAACTTGAAAGAAAAGTCAGAAAGTCTCACAGAGAAAATGACAGGGTATCCTCATTTATGAATTTTGCCCTGAAGTGACTTCAAAGGCCAAAGACAGTGGAGCCTCAACATTATTTAAAAAAAAATGTTTTCTACCAAACTCATTGTTAAAGGGATTTATAACAAATTATGAGATTTGCACCAAGAAGGCCATGTAGCATCTCAAGAAGCAGAAGGTAGGAGTGAACAGTACTGGCTTTAGAACCGGTAAATATGGAATTTGCCATTTAGTAGTCCTATTATTTTGCATATTTTCCTGTTCTGAGCCTCTTTCCCCTCAAAAGTAAAATGAGGTAATACAAACTACTTCGAAGGGATATTAGAGAATCAAATAGCCCATGCTTGTCAAGCACTCAGGGAAGACTTGGTAAATGGTAGGTAGCATTATTTTAGAGACAGAAAAATGTTGCTTTGTCTATTTCACTGATCACCAGCCCTGAGATTTTAACATGGAAAAATAAAGGGCACTCATAACTGCGAAGACAGATGAAGACTCTCACCTGGCACCCTTCACAGCACTCCCCGGATGCACACATCGATCCCGCCTTGACCGTGCACGTTTCAGCATTACAGCAGATGTTGGTACACTCCTAAGAAATGCCAGAAAGAATTGCAAATGCAGAATTAATTTTTGGTCTCATTTTAGCACAACTCATGATATAATTTATTCATCACACAGACCTCACTTTGGTGTGGTCTCAAAATAATTTTCAGGAAAATAAAAAACCCCAACAAGATTAATGTTAGAAAAACTGAGATTTTAGAGCAACCAAGGGTACATTATTTTTCTGAATTCTACTTACATTTTTCAAAAATTTGAGTATATTTTTTAGTTCACCCAGTTTTCCATAATAATACTCAGAATATGAGAGCAAAAAGAAAGACAAAGGACAGGCTTTGAAAAAATAAAATTTATCTAAAGAACATTACTTCAACCAATCAATTTTGTACCTATTCAGCATTAAATTTACTCTTCAGAACATGTAACTGAAAATCAAAAAATATAATTTACTCAATTTTGACATTGACTCTAACTTTGCATGAAGCAATATGTTTTGTTCTCTCTTTTTTGTTTGTTTTTGAGAAATTAGGCCCCCTACTGTTTGTAGCTGTTCAGATTCCCCATGAGGAATGATATATTTAAAATTACAAAATTTAGGGTTAAAATTCTGGCCCTTATTGCAAATACAAACATCATCTGAGAAAGATTCATTTTTCCACTGGATGAATAAATGTGTGATACTGTTTTGAAGGTCCTGTGAAGCTGGAGCCCTGAGGACTGGACGCGCTGCAGCCCAGCCTATGACACAGTGAACAAGGTGGGGTCCTCCAATGGTAGGCTCTTCTAATGGTAAGGAGTCCTGAGTTACCAGGGGGCAAACTGTGCGGGATGAATCCGGGACTGCTGAACCAGGACACCCGAAAGCACACCTTGGCCCCTTCGTTTACCAGCTCAGTGACCTGGGGCAAGCTACTTCCACTCTGTGAGCACTGTCACAGTGGTGTGTCTAAAGTAACTGTGCAGGAAGTCATAGGCACACAAGAAATGTGGAGTACTTCAAACAGAAAGGGAGGCACGAGGGCACAAAGCCCAGGCAGGTGTGTTGTACTTAAAAAACAGATATGGGGAAGGAACTCCAAGACAGTCTTTTAAGCTATGCAGTGTTCATTGTTAGAAAGGCTGGACTGACAAAGATTTGCAAATAAATATGTATATAAATCACAAGAAACATGCAAATTTATAAGGAATCACACTATGTAGTTTTTTAAAATATGGCTCAAAAGTGTTTTATTTTTAATTGTATGTATTGGGGTGACATGGATAAGTAAGATTATGTAGATTTTAAGTGCAAAAACACTATAGAGTCCTATAGTTTTTCTTCTTCGCAATTGAAAGGCAAACTGGACTTTCGGTAGGAAAGACTGGATCGTACCTCAGAAGTCCCGCAGTCGCAGTCTTCTTCCTCCTCTACCAGCTGGTTCCCACAGAGCGGGGTGGATAGGACGTCTGCAGGCAGCGGGGCATTGAAGAGGCAATCTGATAACTTACCTTTAGAAAACTGGGCAAAGCTGACACGGCTGCAGGAACTGAAGTCCGTGGGTGTGTCTATGCTGTGAAGGGAAGGGAAGAAAAAATGAGCACCCAGGGGGCCCTGAGGATGGTGCCCCAAAAACCTGTCCCAAAAGATCAGATTAAATCCACTGACCAGCTACTAAATCATGGATGTATACACATGCCTGAATTAGACCACTGGGAGGGACAAACATCTCCAGCTAAATGAGCAAACATGGTCATATCTCAAAGTATATCCAGGCTGCTCTTTAAAAAAACATGCTTCTGATTTACCTAGATAATCTTATTTGGCCTTAGGTTACTTTGATTGTAAAGTTCTAAAAGTAGTACAAGTTTACATATTTGCATGTCTACGAATTTACTTTCCTTCAGAGGAATTCCTATTGACAGAATTTCTTCATTCCACTAACAAAGCTGAGGTTTAAAAATGCACCAGCATCTGGAGGAGATAACACCAGACCATGTAGCCGGCACACAGCCATGTGCTGTTTTGTGGAAGGGAGACTGACCCTAGGTTGCACGAGCTAAGAAGGAAAATGGAAAAGAGGAAATGCATGTGAAAAAGGGACTGTGGAACTTTTAAAAATAAAATTCCCTGGCAAAATTGCCTAAGGCAAGGCAGAAATGGGTCATATCTTTTCACAGGTTCTCTCTTCATCCTCCTGTGAGAACTTTCTTCTTTGGGTTTTTTCCTCGAACTTTTTTCTTATCACTACCTAACATGAAGTTACTGAGAAGTTGATAAATTCTCATGAATTTCTGTAGATGAGGATAAAATGACAAGTCACTGCAACAGCGAAGAGACTATGTTTAAATTACATCTCAACTAATGAAAAAATGTTCACATAGAGATGAAGGAAGGGGTGGTTTTGTATATATAGGCACACATTCATAACTATGCTATTTAATCATTTAAAACCTTGACCATGGTGTGGAAGATGATATAAAAGAGTAGCATAGCCCAGAGGGAACCAAAAACAGGGGAAAATAGCATCTTCCCAGAAAGCCTTACCTTAGTGCTTCTTCCATCACACATATTTTTTCTGGACACTGGCAAAGATAGTAATCATGGAACATTCCAAAGTTATGGCCCATCTCATGGGCCATTGTCCCTGCAACACTAAGTGCATTGTCACTGTGGTCCTAAGGGTGGAAACAGAAAAACAGATCTTCTGGTTCTCAGACTGAATTATCACTCAGGGTATAATTAAATACTTTTACTGTAGCCAAGTGGAGTACAGAGACTGATTTTAGCTGCCACCCAACACACCCACCCACCATCTGTTCTCCCTCTCTCTTTCTTTCCACACATACACCTACAAAACTTCAGTACTAAATGCCCATCACAGAACATATTACCTACTCTTTGTTCTTGTGACTGGAAAATAATGAGAAAATTTTTGTGGTTTTCTGCTATGAGAGATAGTGGCAAAATTTCTTCAAAAATGATATGAAATCAAAAACATTTAAAAAATAATCTACCTCCCTCTCCAGCTCTCTTTTTAATATATTCTAGTTCAATTGGAGGGCTCTGATATGTTTAGCTAATGGAGCTTTAAAAGAGTTCATTGACCTAGAACTTTAGTAAAATAGTACTTTTTTCAACTCTGTTACTACCAAGACTAGACATCGGTCAATTCCAGACTTGCCCCATTGCATGAAGTCTGGCCAGTGGCCAACTTCATTACCAGGTTGTATCTGATTAGAGGTGCTAGACTGGGGGCCCAAGTTACCTAGGAGCAGCAAAATAACAGCAGAAAATCCTTGCTGATTATAATTTCCCAGTGGGGGGACAAATCGGCTGATAACACGCATACACAGAAACCTCTTTCCCTTATCTACTTCATTTCAAAGAACGAAATAGAGAGATTCATAGGGCACAGTACAAGACCCAGACAAGGAACACTTGTGCCATATAAGATGAAAAGTTAATACCTACCATTCACAATATTGTTTCATACCAAATTTGTTTCATTGTTGAAATAAATTTGGTAAACCTAGTTATCTAGCTAGAGCTCCCCATGTGGAGACAAAAACAAATAAAAAAAATTAAGAAAAGTGGAAATATGTTTAGAGACTTTCCAGATTGCCTTGATATTCTTTCAAATTTAGGGTATTTTCATTTAAATAATTATTTTCATAACTTCAATGTTTCCCCCCCGGAACAACTTCCATAAACAAAATAATGCTTTATGATTGTGCAGAGCTACTTATGGATGTGTGAAATTGATGCAACATTTGAAATTCAATCAGTGTTAACCCACCATGCCAACTAACTGAAGGAGAAAAACTATACTATCTTTTCAACAGATTCAGAAAACAGAGCTTTTGATGAGCTTGAACATAAAACCAATTGCTTATCTTCCAACAAACCTGAATGACGCCAACGGAATAAGGAGTGCACATTGAAGACATGAAAGCAAGGCCCACAGTTGTTCCAGAAAAGCCTCTTGCCCTGCAAGAAAGAAAGAAATTGCTATGAAAACTTCCAATTCTAAGCTTTATTTTATAGACAGTTAATCCACAATTCTGAATGGTCAACATAGATACTCACATTATGAATCATCATTCATAAATATTTCCTTCAGTGTTTTTAATTTGATGAGGCTTTTTTCTTATATAATAGTTGTCATATCACCTAAATCCAAGCACCTGAATGCAATCACTTTTAATATTATATATATCATTCATAGTTATTATATTTTCATTGTCAAATTCACCTCTTGTCAGAAAATCAAAGGTTTTTTGGTCCTAATAAATGTTTTTCTTTATATACAAGGTCTGTCTAGAAAGTATCCATCCATTTAATATGAAAAATAGAGACAGTTATTGAAGAAGATACAAGAAACATTGTACATAGGACCATGAGGCCTCAGTGCCCTTCAAAGTAGGCACCTTGGGACCTCATACAGTTCTCCCAATTGCCATTAGCTGCCCTGTTATATTTTCTTGAATCTCATCAACAGCCTGAAATTTCTTCCCTTTCAAAGACGATTTTAGTTTTGGGAAAAGCCAGAAGTCACAGGGCACCAAATCTTGGCAGTCAAGGGCCTGAGTCATCTGAGTGATTTGATGTTTCACCAAAAAAACTCTGCATGACACTGGGCATGTTATTGTTATAAAGCTGCCAGTCACCAGTTCCCCATAGCTGCGGCCTTCTGAATCATCTGAATGGTTTCTGCGGAGGAATGTTCAAGTTTCTCATAAAGTCTGATGAAGATTCATTGCTCTACTTAGTCATTTTTAATGTGACAGCCACACAGTACACATGCTCACTCAATGGTGTCTAGCACCCCTACTGTCTAGTATAGTGAGGTCATCATTGTTCACACATGTGCATTCCAGTCCACTGTCCTTGGCTGCCAGGTTACACTGATGCTGTGCAAACCATTTTCATTATATGAACAATGGTTAGATTTGTTCCAGACAGTCTGTCTATGTATCTATCTATGTATCTATCTATGTATCTATGTATCTATCTATATATCTAGAATATTTAGAGATAGACACATCTATCTCTTTAAATATATCTATCTATACATTTAGATAGATATATTAGATATATCTATCTAAAATATATATTATGTATCTTATTTTGATATTAGTATTGTCACATATGTTTTTTACTTTTACTTTCTTTTAGTGTTTTAAGTATGGTAGTATTTGGAGTTTGGGCCTATTCGGAAAGAATTTGTGTTAATGAACCCTTTATGTTATTGAAATATTTGTCCCATTGAAGAGGGATTTGAACCACTTGCATTTATTTACAGAGATGATATATTTGGTTTTTAGTAATTCTAATCTCTTGTTTTGGTTTTATATCTTTTTTTTTTTTTTGCTTTCAACTTGTAATGAATCCATGGTCCTCATTTGTTACTATTTTTTTGTTATCTGTTCAAGAGTCTGGCCCAGATATAAATTTGCCAAATATGCATCATTTTAAAAATTCACTTAGTAGGTGGATTTACAGAAAAAGTTGAACCTATATTTTCCTGTTATCAGCATCAAAAATGGAGAATATTAATTTTGCCATACAAAATGAGAAATTAGAGAACTTCCACTTTACATTCACTGTGGAGTTTTCAGATATTTGTTATTTTGAAATGATATTTTGCATCATACATGATATTTCAAAGACTTATAGCATTTTAATCTTCTTTTAAAATTATATTGTAAAAATACTTGAGTCTACATTTGTTTGTAATCATCTTACTACTAGCTCATTTATAAAAATAAAATCTTTCCCTATTATGGAGTTATTTACTTTGGTTCCTCTTTTTAGTGAATAGAATATATTTGGACTCTAAGGTTCCTACTTGGTTATGCCTAGTTATAGGTATCTTTGTTAATTTGTCAGGTAATGGTAAAACTTTCAGTTTACAAGTGAATGGACAATTACTTATTTCCATCATATATTTTTAGTGCTTATATTGTTTATTTTGGTCTATTCAAGAAATTTGCTTTTGAGCCCTGGCTGATGTGGCTCAGTGGATTGAGTACTGGTCTGCAAACAAAAGGGTCGCCAGTTTGATTCCCAATCAGGGCACATGACTGGGTTGTAGGCCATGTCCACAGTTGGGGACATGCAAAAGGCAACTACACATTGATGTTTCTCTCCTTGACTTTCTCCCTCCCCTCCCCTCTCTCTGAAGATAGGTAAATAAAATCTTTTAAAAACAAGAAAGAAAGAAAGAACTTTACTTTTGAAATAGTATTTCCATTTTTTATTTATACATCTGACATCTTGTCTGTAATTTGTACCTCTCCACCTGACCACTTCAGATACAGGAGTACACTACAGTTTGAACATGGCTCTGGAGCCAGTCTATAAGAATTGGGTTCCCTTACTACTCCCTAGTATGAGATCTTGAAAAATCATGAACTTCAAAAATGATCTCTTTCCTTTGGTGGGCCCCTGATCTGGAACTCACCTTTTCAAATGAAGGAACTGTGGCAGCTCTTCTTCAGAGATAACCCACAATGAGCCAGCTTTGCAGTATTTACATCCTGTGTAGTGCCTATGAATCTGGATAGGTCTGTGACTTGCTTTGACCAGCAGAACAAACCAGCAATGACACCATGATTTCCAAAATTGTTTCATAGCAAAGCCTTTAAGCTTTCTCCTGAGCCTCTTAGAATGCTTCTTCTGGGGAAAGCTAGTCACCTTCTAGGATGCCCAAAAACCAGAGACTGCCATGTTGAAGGCAGTGCAAGTTAGCCGTATGAAAACTGCATATATGCAGACAGACGCCCAACCAGTCCCCTACTCCAGCCATACAAGGCAAGTTACCAGCCATAGAAGTGAAGAAGACTTAGTGTAAATCAGGAGGCTGTGAGCTGATGCCGTAATAGGTAACTAGCAAAGGATATTAATTGTGACAAAATCTAGTCCACTATTTTTCCCATGACTCCCATCATTTTCTTAGGAAGTGAAATTCAGAATTTTAAGTCATTTTTGCTTCCTCCTTCTGTATGAGATAGCTGCAAACTACCCAGCCAAATTTTCTTGATTTCTTTTGAGGCATATGCTCTATACTTCTTGTAGGATTTACAACTCTTAGATTTATTTCCCCTGTGTTTTTTAATTAGTCATTTCATCAGTATGGTAAAGGTGTACAATTAGAATATAATATTCAATTTCTCTTCTATCCTAGAAGTTTGTCCTGACTCATGCTTAAAACTAATCAATTATTTTTAAATGTTAAAGCTAAATCCCTCTTGCCATTCTCTAAACCTGTCTTTCTTTTCTGTGCATCCAATCAGAACAGGCAAATTTGTGAATCACTGCTAAATCAGTAACTTTTCTTTTAAAAAGAAGAGCATATTCAAAATAAGGTTCAAATAAATACTTTTTAAACTTTTAACCTTCTATGTGTAAACCACTTCCTCTTACCCTGTGCCCTGCAGCACCACTTGCTTTGCCCAGGCCTTGAAAAGCTTTAAGCTAAAAACCACCTAGTGTACAAAGGGGGAACTCTGTACATACGTGATTAACTGAGCAATATCATGATGCCTTCTCCTTGAGAGGACACTCTCCCTCCATTTCCAAAAGTTATTCAAGGTGAAGCTTGCATTTGGGGTTATCTCTATCTTGTCCTTCTCATTCCAGACTTCCATCCCCACTAAGACCACATGAGTGTCCAGTTTTTTATAAACCTGTCCAGAGAGAATAAATGGCAAAACATCAACTTATAATGGTGATATTATTGTTTAATATTCTCAATGTACTTTAGATTTTCAAACTTATTTATGACAAGTTTGTAAAATCTTTCTTCCCAAACACACTTGTGAAATGGAAGTTACCATCTCTTTCTTAAAGGCGCTAGCATCCCTTTTCTTCAGCAAAACAAGCACCCTTGGATATTTCAGGTCTATAAATTCCTTTTTGGGGGAATAAAAGGTCCTATTGAGACAAACTATTCCTGCTTGCAACCTCAAGAAATACAATTTTATATCAGCAGATCGTTATTATAACTTCATTTTAAGTATATTTACTCAAATACTTTGTAATGTTCTGAGAGCCATAATATTTCAGACTTCAGCAAGGTTGACTCGGTGTTGATCCAGACGCTGGAAAAGAAACATGCAATGTGAAAAAGCCCTACACCTGGGAGTCACGATGAAGCAAGTGGTCCTCAAATTCTGACACCTGGACTAAACCAAACACTCCACACCGAACAAAGAATGACCTTTGGGAAAAAGTTATGTTTATGAGACAACATGCTAACTCTAAAAATAAACATTTAAATAGATTCTATGGTTTATAAAACTATAAACTATAGTGTTGGTCAAAGGATGCAAACTTCCAGTTTTACTGTGAATGAGTTCTGGGTTATTGAATGCATAGCATAGAATATAACACCACTACTATATTATATAATATACTTGAAAATTGCCCAAAGAGTAGAGCTTAAATGTATTCTCCACAAGAAAGAAATAGTAATTATTTGATAGGATGGAAGTGTTAGCTAACCTATGATGGTAATCATTTTGCAATATGTAAGTGTACCAATGCAATACTTTGAACACTTTAAACTTACACAAAGTTATATGCCAACTATATCTCAATAAAGCTGAAAATAATTTCATAGTGACAGGCTTTCTCGTGAGGCAACATTCTGCTGAGAAACCCAAACAAATTACTTTTTAAAAAAATAGTTTGGAAAAATAATGAAAGCATTGAGGAATGTAATTATCACCAAAAGAGAAGTAAAACCCTAGCAATACTAAAATTCTCCCTTTACTTTCATGTCTTATTTTTGTCACCTGACAAAGCTCTGATTCTGGTTAAACTGCTCTGTACTCTGCCTCCCAACTGCCTGTCCTTCACCAATGCCCAGAACACAGAGGGGGAGCACACTACACTGACAACTTCACTTTGAAGCCATGACCACTAACCTCAAGTGGGCTTTTTCAATCTCTAGAAAACTGGTTGAGTTTCCAAAATTCACTCATTCTCTGCACATATATTTCATACCCACTCCTCTTTCTTGGAAATTCTGACACTTTCTTTTAAATCCTCACTTTAAGTTGATGCCCCTGCTTTCAAATTCACTGAGTGTATAGAAGCAACCAGCAGGGAACTTACGGAGCTCCTACCACCCATCTGCCCAGTGGCCTGCACCTGTTTGAACCACTCCAGAGGCCCCTTCTTAGGATATGCATATGCATGACTGGTCTTTGAGCCTAGGGGCAACATCTTTATTCTTGCACTGGATCTCCTTTCCCCAGATCAAAGACAGTGTTCCAGCAGGTCTTCCCTCCTCCTGGTGTTGTCAGTGCTTAGCCTTCTGTGGACTTGTTAACATTGGCAGCAAAGGTTGGCACTTGCAGTGGGGGTTGGGGGGGGAAAAGAATTTCTCTTTATAAGCCTTCCACTTCTAACTTATGCTCCATTTTTCTGCTCCCCTTCATAGGAAAACTTCTGGAAAGAATTTTTCATATTTGCTGTCTCTGATTTAATTTCACTCATTCCCTCTGGACTCACTCTAATCATGCTTTTACTTTTACACTGCACAGAAACTATGTCATTTGGGTGACCAATAACCTCTGCTTTGCTCAATCCAGTGGCCGATCCTCAGTGCTCACAGAATCTAAAATCTTTGGTTATTTTTCCTGCGATAGATTTTTGTTGCAGGTAGCTTCCAGAACAACTCTCTCATGGTTTTTCTTCCACCTCACTGTTTACTCCTACTCCACATCTATCAGTTTTTCTTCCACTCTGATCTCTTTGCCAAGTGGTGCTTCAAGGATCTGTCTTGGGGCCATTCTTCTACTTAACTACACCCACTCCCTTGGTGAGCTTGTACCAGGGTGGGAAAACTTTTTCTGTAAAGGTCCAGATAGAAAATATCTTAAGCTTTGAGGCGATGTTGTCTGGGTCGCAACTACTCACCACCTCTGGCATTGTATCAGGAAAGCAGCCACAGACAATGTGGGAACAAATGAAGGTGGCTGTGTTTCCATAACACTTTATTTTGTGAAAAAAGCGCAGCCTGGATTTGGCACACAGTCTACAGCTTTCTGACCTATGCCTTCTGCCATCTTTATTCACTGAAGACTTATAGATTTATATCTCCACCCAGGCCTTGCCCCTAAACTCCAATCTTATGTTTCTAGTCCTTCTACCAGGAACTCTTTATACAAAAAGGTATCTCAATGTTAATGTGTCCAAAATGAAAACCCTACCCTATCCCCTGAGTCACTAGCCCCTACCATTTTCCCCACTCCCCATTCTTCAAGTCAAAGCACTTGGTATCATTTGACTTCCCTCCCTCCCTCCCTCTCTCTCTCTCGGTCTCTCTCTCATTCTCATCTCCCACACAGCTCACAAGCCCTGTTAACTCTATCTCACAATCAGCTAGTCTCAATAAGTCCACTATCACTGCTTTTTCTTAAACTACCATCTTCTTTTGCCTGAAATATGGCACAATTCTCCTGTCTCATCTTGTTTCTGCCCTTGCTTCCCTTCAGTGTATTTTGAACACAATGGCCAAGATAAGCTTTTAAGAATACCCACCTGAATATGCCACACTTCAGGGTCTCCAATGTCCTCATTCGTGAAGAATAACCAAGTCCTTACACACGTCTACTAGGACATTCAGGTTTTAGTCACTGTCACCTGTCCGATTTCATTTCCTCCCACCCTGGCCCTGGCCTACTACATTGCAGCCACAATGGCCTTTCCATTGGCTCTTAAACAAGACATTCCAGGTTCAGCCCTCAGGTCCTTTGTTCTGCTTTGCATGCCTCCCATACCTTCCTTCAAGTCTCTACTCAAATGTCACCTTATTGGAGAGTCCTTCCTTGATTAACTTAGTATCCAAGATGAATCAATCTCTCTCTCTCTCTCACTTTATTTTTCTTTATAACAATTATCACCATCCTGCATACTCTTCATTTAACTTGTTTATGCTTGTCTCCTTGAACAGAAATGTAAACTCCTTGAAGAAAAGAATATTCACCAGTTTTGTCCTCCACTTTACTTATGTAATTTCTAAGAGTCCCTGGCACAAAGTAGATGCTCAATAAATATGACCAGTTCTTGAGTTTCCTTAAGAGGAGTCACCATGATCCTTGTGGTGAGCTGAGATTTAATCCCGGTCATTGAATCCACTTTCATTTTCTTTCTATCCTTAGATCAGGCATCCCCAGTCCCCGGGCCACAGATCCATAGCAGTGTAGTCTGGTAGAAACTGGCCACACAGCAGGAGGTGAACAGCTGGTGAGCAAGCGAAGCTTCATCTGTATTTATAGCTGCTCCTCATCTCTTGCATTACTGTCTGAGCTCTGCCCCCTGTCAGATGGGCAGGTGGCATTAGATTCTCACAGAAACATAACCCTACTGTGAACTGAACATGCAAGGGATCTAGGTTGCACTCTCCTTATGAGAATCTAAAGCCTGATGATCTGAGAAGGAGCTGAGGCAGTGATGCTAGTGCTGGGTAATGGCTACAAATACAGATTATCATTAATAGTGAGGTTTGATGGCACAGAGACCATAATAAATTAATTGCTTGTAGATGCATATCAAAACCTTATCAGTGAGAAGCAAGTGACAATTCAGTTGCATCTGGTGGCAGGTTATAAAGCCATCCTTCCCACCCCAGTTCATGGAAAAAGTCCCTGGTGCCAAAAAAGATCGGGGACCACTTCCTTAGATGACTTTCAAGACACCACAAAGTGACCTATCCATTTCATATAAGCAGGCTAACTATATGTTCAACTAACAGGAAACTGAACATTAAGATTTAAATAGAAGGGATATAGAAATAGTTTTTTAAAAGATTTTGAAAATTAGGTGATAAAATCATGTTTGAAGGACAGAATCAGCAATTGTGTAGTCAAAATGGGCTTAAAATCTGAGTTCAAATTTTACCTCTACCTTTTTCTAACTTTGTGATTTTAGACAAGTTACTTTGTTTCTCAGAGTATAATTCCTTAGCATTGCTTGATGACTAAATGATACAAGGTATCGAAAGATGCTACTCTGCCACAGCTTCCATTATTTTGTTTGCTCTTCTATTTTCTTCCTTAGACTGGCTTTCCATTGAGATTTGTTTGTCAGCATTTTCTTACTGTGCTTTGGAAAAACATAAACCATGCAAACACTGTTTATATCTTCATGATCTGTGAATAGTGTGATATGTAGGTGAGAAATATATCTGTCACATAATAATAATATTTCATTATTTAGTAAAAGTTGTGGTCACCCTTCAAGAGCCATTCGGCAGTATTAGTCTTAAGACTATTGACTTTCTGTTCCTGCTTCATAGGTATCCCTAGCAACATCCAATGACACTGTTTAGCAAATTGTTAAAATCACATTTAATAAAATATATCATACCATATTGATGTAATTGACCATCTCGAACACCCTGTTTCTTATTTCCTCTGGATCTCGATTGTACTTGTTAAACTAAAAGACAACCAAGACAAAAAATGGGCATTGATGGAAAGGAACATAATAGGAAGGTGAAAAAGGCATCTTCAGTTTATTTTACTTATCAGTGGTCGTCATTCACGATCAGTTATACAAGTTAGAGGTTAGAAACAAGTGCTTCCTTATTTCTCTAAATTCAAGTGCTTTAGGAGTTAAGATGATGTTTTGTCCCCTAAAGCACTAGCTCAGTGTAAAGTGTGAAAGAATTATTATAAATGCATTTCAGTTAGATAACATAATTTCCTAAAGTGGACAAAATCAGCACAAGGAATAGCTTATTCATTAGAAAAATATGAACAGTAAATGAATGTAGTATAAGTGAAGTCAAACTTTTGGGCCTGAACTAATTAACTTAATCATATTATCAGGTTTAGAACATTCAATACATGAAAAATGCATTCTCATGAAGAAGAAAAACAATGGAAGCTACCAAAAAGTGCTTTTTTAGAAGATTCCATTCATTAGTCTTTTATATTTAATGCTCCCTTATAAGCATAATCTAATTTACCAATGATTTTCTGAGTTAACAGAAATCAAAATTACAAAGAAATTTAATTGAAACTAAGTTTGGAGTTCTAAAGACAGCAAAAAATTCAGTGTATCTGTGTCAGATTGTGTCCATTCCTGAAAAGAAGAAATCATGCCAGTCTAATTTAGGTCAAATGTCATATGTTCAGAACAATTTATAAAAAAGAATAGCTCATAGTCATGATGTTTTAAAACCAACCCATATAGTTAATATCTCATATAATAATTTAGGTAGAAAGAGGTTATAAAAGATATATTTATCTGGTATACTTTACCTCACCATTGTCCAGTACCAAATAATATTCTACGTACTTCTTCTGTTCTTGAACCTTCCGATCATTTAATTTCTGTAATAAATATAAAAAAATCACTAAGACAATTCTTTCTCTGCGAAAGTTGTTCTTTTATTAGAAATGTGTGATTTTGTAGGAGACTGGTTATTATCTAGGAATAAAGGATGACAGGATTACTATTTTAATTCTAATTAATCAGCCAGAATCATCTATAGACAAGGCTCAGAATGTCAGAGCTAGAAGTGATAGTCTAGCCTGACCCTTTTATTTTACCAAAGAATTTAAGTGATTACACAACTAATAAAGAGGAGTGCTTGAATTAAAACCAAAGTCTTCAGATGTGTTTGAACCGCGCACTTGCTGTACTGTCTTGTTATGAAACAAACTGACTTCAGTGTCCTCCTAGTGTTGTTCTAGTTGTTGTTTAGTGTCCTTTTATGCCTGGTCCAGTGAACATTCCCTCCTTACCAGTGACTGACGGGCAATACCCAAAGCCACCACAGAGTCCAGTCTGCTCTTCTCTTCAGAAGAGCTGGGTCTCTTTCCCACATGTCAAGCTTCCCTGTATTTTGCCTTCCTCTCCACAACACAAAATAAAATAAAGCAAAACAGTAACAACAAAATAACATGTTTTATAGTGGATTGGCCCATTGAAAAATAGCAGACATTATTTGTACTAAATAATAAATCATCATGCCCTGGCTGGCATAGCTCAGTGGATTGAGCATGGGCTGCGAACCAAAGTGTCACAGGTTCGATTCCCAGTCAGGGCACATGCTTGGGTTGCCGGCCAGGTACCCAGTGAGGGCCACATGAGAAGCAACCACACATTGATGCTTCTCTCTCTCTCTCTCCCTCTCCCTCTCCCTCTCTCTCTCTCTCTCTCTCTCCCCTTCCCTTCCCCTCCCTAAAAATAAATAAATAAAATCTTTAAAAAATAAAAAATAAATCATCAAAGTTTATTATGTTGCTTTTCTACAAGTACTTGCCTTTTATGAGGTAAATAAGCTGTTAACAGGAACCATTAAAAGAACAGGTTACAGAAGATAGACCTTTTAGGTATTCTCTAAGGAGATATAGACTCACCTCCCACCTTCCACAGGAGCAATATATGTATTTGCACTTACTGTGCACCAACAAGGCTCTGGGCACTGCAGATACAGCAGTGAAACAGACCTGCTCGGTGTGCTTAGGGAGTTCACAATAGACAAACAAGCACAGAGATGGCCAGCAGGCATGAGTGCTGTATGGAGGGTTAAACAGCATGGTATGAGATTGTGTGACAAGGTAGTCATTTCAGAATAGATGGTTAGAAAAAGCTTGAAAGCATTGGCTCTGAAGCTGACATATTAATGAAAATGAGGAAGGTCAGAGGAAGATAAATTGAAAGATAATTCCAGCAAAAAAAAAATACACAAAAAAGACTCCAAGGTAAATTGATGTTGACATGTGTAAAGTACAGCAAGAGTTTGTGTCTGTCAGAGCAGGGCAGTCACTGATGGATGGTAAGTATGAGATGGGGAAGATTGGAGAGGTAGTTGAGGTCCTAGTCATACAGGGGTCTGTAACTCAGGGTCAAGACTTTTTGCTGTTTTTGTTTGTTTGTTTGTTTCAATTTTATACTAAATGCAATGAGAAGCCATTACAGGGTTTTAAACTGAAAAGTGACATTGTGATTTAGAATCAAGCAATCACTCCAACCGTTGCGTGGAGGTGGATTCTACTGAGGCTGGACTGTGAGCGGGAAGTCGGGTGGAGGACATTGCAGTGGGTATAGTGATAGGGGTGGTGCCATGCGGCAGTTGGGAAGAGGGAACAAAGTGAAAGACCTGGACTATGTGGAGGCATTGGCTGCTGGATACCATATGAAGAGGGGTGAACGAAGCAAGAATCAAGGCTGGTTTCTGGATTTGGGCCTGAGCACATGATGAATGGGGGTACTGAAACAGGGGAGAACAAGGGAGAAGCAGATTTCGTTGGGGGCTCGGAAATCAGTAGTTCTGTTTTGACCACACTAAGTTTCCGATATTAGACACTCCACTGGATGCATGAAGTAGACAGTTAATTATTAATATTCTGGCCTTCAAAGGAGAGTCCAAGGCTGGAGGTGTATATTTGATAGTGATTAGTGCAGAGCTCCTGTTTAAATAATACATAGAAGGATAAGATTACCTAGAAGGAATATATAGATAAAGTAAAGAATGGGACAGACCCAGGATTGAGTTTTATGAGGAGCCTCTAATATTTAGCAGTCAACCAGTGGAGAACTGAGAAGGCACAGCACCAATGAGACAGGAGAAAACCACAAAACACAAAACAAACAAACAAAATGATGTCATGGAAGCATGGTTATTTGCACATGGTTAGCAAAGGATTGAGACAGAGATGAAGTCTATACCAGCTAAAGTAGGAAGTCAACACTCATATAGCTAAGAGTGGTTCTTCTGGCTGGTAGCATTTAAACACCCAGCCAGTTGAACCCAACAACAATTTTTATTTTATTCAAACCAATTCTGTCCAGTGTTTATAGACATTCATTTATGGACAAATGTTTACAAACATTTATAAGAGATTACTTTTCTGTGACTGGAAGCTGAATTCCATAAATGAAAGCACATTCTAAGTTCCTGTGGGCAGATCCTATAAGATCCTATATTTATTTTGTTTGCTGCTACATCCCCAGTGCTTATGGCAGTACTAGAAGAAAGGTTTGTTAAATGAGTTCATTCGTAAGGACTGTAGGATATTTTATCTCAAAGTAATAACAATACTTGACACCATCGTATGTGGCAGTATTGTGAAAGTTGCCTGCCCTAGAGGGCAAGCCTTACACTCCTTTTAGCCCTAGCGCATTGTTGTTCATAGTAGTTGATCCATAAATATGTATTAAAGCAATGTACAAGGTTTTAATGTCTCCCTAACTACTAGTTTCAACAATGACCACAAAATTTCAGTAAAGTGCAGTTGCTAAGACTGAACTCAGGACAGACAGGACGGGATACACAAGACCATTCCACATAAAAAAGAAAGGTATGCATACAACCAGACTGGTGGCAGGTGGGGCCACATGTGCCCATAGCAAGTCATCTGCCCCACAGGTGGCATCAGTCTTCTTTGCTTCGGGATCGTGCATGAAGAGTGCATGTTCCTGTTCATCCCAATTTGTGGGACTTAAAGGTTTAATGAAGTACCTTTCTTCTCCCTGACTGAAGTAGCCCCTGAAAAACATGAGAATCCAGGTTTCTTTATTCCTGCATCTGAGTGCTATATTTGACAGACTCCAGAAAGTTAACATGGCAAAAACATTCCAAGCTCATGGCTGCAGAACACAATGCAGCATTACAGCTGAAGATCCCCATAGAGAAGAGCTAAACTATTTTCTCTGTGAGGAAATGGAGCCTTTTGGGAACAAGTGACTACTGCAATCTTATAGCTAACCTAGGTCAGAGCTTACACTAGAATGAAATTTCCTGACTCTTGGTCCAGTGCTCTTCCAATTCCCTTGCCTTGTCTGCCCTCAAGGTGTACTGAAAATGAAAGAGATTTTGGGGTCTTATAAACAAGAATTAAAACTCTGGCTCTATCACTTATTAGCACTGATACCATGGGAAATTACTTAATCTCACATAGCTTCAGTTTTTCCATCCATAAAATGAGAATAACAATACCTACAATATGATGGTTATAAAAATGGAAGGATATAATAGGTAAAGCATGTAAGCAATGAAAAATACCAATTTCATCTTAATTCTCTCTGCTGAAGCCCAAAGCTACATTTCATTCAACCAAAATTTAATAGCCACACATCATTCATTAAGCATTAGACTAAAGACAGATGGGAGAGTCATGGTTTCTCTTCTCTTAGAGCTTATATTCAAATAATGAAGACAGATGTAGATGAAACAATTACATTTGATTCACAAGTATATAATCATATGACAGATATCTAATATATGTAATTAAAACAGATAATTCCTAAGAAGAAAAAGCAAAGAATGTATGACAGACTAAGTATACATAGAATTCGCATATAAGAAGGGATGTGGAGAGATAAAGTAGGTGGTTTAGTGCAATGTCTGCATAAAGATCACAGTTGTTTGGATGGGGATGTGGCAGTAGAGAGAGAATGCAGTGAATAATCTCAGAAAATATTTGGAACATATAAGCAATAGGGCTTGATAATGGATTGAAAATGGGTAGTTGAGGGGCAATAAGTCATCAAGAACTCAGGTTTCTGGATTGGGCAAGTGGCTGGGTTGATTATACAATTCACTGAGATAAGAAATACTGGAAAAATTCCAGATTTTGGAGAAAATCATTAGCTTGATTGAGATTTCATTGAGATATCCAGGTATGGGAGAGATATGGAGATATGAAAGGGAAAATGAGATAATCAAGTCTGGGCACCAGAAGTCTGTATATCCTACTGTTGGCAGATACACAGGGAACCCTTAACACAGAGAAAAAAATGGCTATGACAGGCATGGGTAGGTCAACCTGGAGACTGTAGAGTGAAGAGAGAAGGTGAAAAAGAGCTCCCATTTAAAGGTTCTGACTTTAAAACACAGACTCAAAGCCTCTATTTTGAAAACAAGCAAACAATCAAACAAAAGCAATTCAGAAAGCAGTTCTGGTTTGTCATTTATAAACTGTTATCAACAGGAGCCATGTTTCCTTCAAACCTCAAAATTTTTAGCCCTTAGAATTCACATTCATCTAGGTATGATTAAGTCTATCTGATATTAGTTTTATTAAACACACACCATCAAAGACACACAAACCACAATGAAGTCTTACCTGAGACCCCTACACGTGCTGATGCTAGCTTCAGAAAAGTTTGCATTAATGATGTGCCCTTGGTAATAACAGTCGTCCTCAAGAAAAGAGGAAAGGGGTTTTATAAGGGAGAGTGTGCATGTGTTTTAGACCCACTGCTAAACTTAAACTTAAAATCTCAAAATAGGATCTATAATGGTTTTAAATCATTTTATGCTGAATAACAGTCAATGTAGGGATATTGAAAGCATTTTTAAAGTTTTTTTATGGTTAAAATCTTTACTATTTAGTTAATGATCTCAAATGTCTACAAAGTGTTAACTAAATGTTGGTGTGAATGCTGGTGCTGCAGAGAAAGGACAAGAGGGTAAATACAGTCTGGAAGAAACCAACTTACAGACGTATGTTTATGCACCATTTTACCTGAGCACCCCAAACATCAGACATTCATTCTTTTCTTCGACTGATTGCTCATCATTTTTTTCTAACAACTGTGAGCTATTTCCAATGAGTGTGTTATTCAGATTGTGTTAATATTTCTTTATTTATCCCAAGAGTTTCACCAAAGTGGATTAGTATTGCATCCCCTGCCTCCATTTGGAGCAAAATACCCAACCCTAACCCTTTTTCACATGTATGTTCTTCTGTCAAGTAAACCCTTCTACTTTTGGAGAGATGAGGTATCAGCCCATGTACACCCATGTGTGACTGTAGAATTTTATGGAAGAGACTGTGTGAAGGCTTTCCAATAGAAAGCAGGCCTCTGAAAAGGTGGCAATGTTAAAACACTTTCATGTTATTTCACACTGAGTCATCTCTGAATGAGAAGGAAGAGTGGAAATTGTTTAAAGAAAATACAGAATTTTACAATTCTACCATTGAGGAAATGATCTTGGGTTGGAGAGATTACATGATCTAGGGAGGTGACAGGCATTAACTAGGAACACCAGAGGTATGATTCTTCCATCTTCTAATGAAAATAAGAAGCTCCTTCTGTCCACTCTCCTGTAGGGACAACTTTGAGCCTGGAAAGTGTTACCATGGTTGTCGTCAAGGAATGATTTTGTTTTTGTCAGACTCTCCAAATGATGGAGGATCAATTAAGAATTGACTACTAAATAAAGCACTAATGCCATAAATACTGCTTCTCTTTCCCTATTTGCTTGGCAATGACATTGCATTTGGATGTGTGGGTCAAATCCCAATTAACATTCAGTCTGGGACACTCTATTTTACCATGATCTGTGGGCTGGCGGTGACCTCCTTTCCAAAGGAATTATAGTGTGTTTCCGTGTAGCCTGGTGCACGGATGTCCCTAGAGAAAAAGCAAAAGAAAGTCATGATTACTCATGCTGATTGCAAAGTTCAGTGATCAAAGGGAGCACTTTCACCAGTGAGCAGTCAAGTTTTAACTCCTGAACTCTTCTGAACCCCTGAGGACATGCCCCAGCATGAAAGGGACACTTAAAACGGAGAGAACGAGAGGGGCAGGGACCTTCATGAGCAGTATGGGACAGTGTCTGCTTGCTCACCAGACTGTGCATGCTGATCTGAGGAGAGATTTGAGGAAGAAAAGAAACTGAGAAGGGGATAGTGGGTAAAAAAAAAAGTCTGAAAAGAGCAATGCTCCTCACCAGTTTAAGAGAACTGTGTTTCCACCTAGCCCTTTTAGTTACCAGTGACTATTAAAGTTTATTGAAAATTAACTTGCATTTGGTAGTTAGGGCCCTTCCATCATTCTGCCAAGCTTCTTAAAATTCTTTCAGTCACCCTCTAGAAAATAGGAGTCTGAGTACATTTGTAAAAGAGGTAGCGCAAAGAGAAAAGGAAGTAACTTATATGTATCAAATTCTGTACCTATACTGCTCACTGGGTTAGGACCTGTTACAGGAGTCATTTAATATAATCTTTTCAACCATCCTAGAAGGTAAATATTATTCTATTTATTTTTTAAATAAGATTAAATAGTTCAAGTGGCATGACATTATATTTAGGTCTGCCTTAACCCCAAGCCTATATTACTTCCATTACACCATACTATTTTTGAACTCCAATCAGTTGTGATTTTTTGCAAGAGGTGACAGTATGTTTGTCTATCTTGCTGTCCTATATAGAACAACTGAGGGACTCAAAGAGCTTGAAAGCACAGGTTAGGAAAAACTATTTTTGAAACAGTGTAGATGGAGGATGATCCATATCTGGGTGAGAGTTAAGGCTGTGAAACTTGAAAAAGAATGTGGACTTTTGATGAACAGGACAAAGAGTGTGAAGGAGTGAGAGCCCAACATAATGTGCGAGAGGGATGGCCAGGTTAGTGGGCAGCTGGGTGGAAGGCCCGTCAGCTCTGGAGTCCGGCCAGCCCAACTTGGCTTCGCCACGGACTGCTTCTTTGGCCCCAGAGTTTATTTAATGTATATGTCTTAGTATTTTTCCCCAATAAAAATGCTTGCAAATTGTTTTAAAATCTAATCTTTCAGTGCTAGAATAATAAAGTGAAATAATGTAGGGGAACAGTTAAAAATCGATAGCTATTTTATAGAGTTTGATAAAATGTATGTCTGCTTGCACCTCATTCATCGTTTTATTATTAGAAGTATCAAAATACTTGTAAACTGTTGTTTTACCCAGTGTGTTCCTATGACTTCAGTAGGAATAAATATTATTGGGCCAGTTGAGAGCCAAAGCGGGCTATGAGGTCTATGAGGTTTCTGTGAGCCATAAGGAACAACAGACTCCATTACCACACTTCCCACTTGCTGACTTGCTGTTGGTGAGGATTATATCAGAAGGAAAGACACTTACTTGGATTTTTTCAAATAAAGCACTGCTATTTTTCCATTAACTGTCATTTCATATTTCAATTCAGTTTCAAACTTTTCCTGCAAAAATGCACAAACATTTGCTGGTAATTAAAAACACACACAAATATTCATTTTGCTAGGCCTATCTGTTTAATCATTAGTAAGCAATGCCTGTTTTTCATCAACAATAGTCTGTTTAATGCTAAATGTCTGTTGCTTCCTCTTTTAACAAATCAAACTAAATAGATAAATTATCTCTGAGACCTGTATATCCATCCATCTACCCATCTATCCATTCATTTATCCATCTATGCATTTTATGAATATTATTTGGGTGCTAGTTATTTGCAAGTTATGGTTTGGTTCTGGAAATTTAACTCGAAGTAACAAAAAAAATGGTATCTGCTTCCATAAAGCATATTATCAAGTAAAAAGACAGACAATAAAAATAAGTTACATTGTATGATGAATACTATAAAGATGGAAGCAATGTAGGATGTCTAATATCCTAAAGGAAGGAAAGGCTTTCCTGGGGAAGGAATGTATAAGCTGAGATAGGAATTAGGCAGGTGAAGCAGGGTGGGGAAGGTATTTGAGAAGAAGAAACGGTACGCACGTAGACCCAAAGACCTCTAAGGCTCTCCCTGGTGATTTTTAGTGTGAGATCTTCTTCAGGCTCAGTGGAGGTCAGAATATGAGCAAAATAACAGGAATATATACCTTAAGGCAGGAAGAAGTCATCAGGAATAAAGAAAAAATATTTCCTCAGGTAAACCATATGAAATAGGAGAACTAGTTTAAGTTTAGAATTGTAAGAGTTCTGTCCAGAAAGTAGCCAGCCATTTACTGTGAGAAATAGTGACATTTATTGAAGGCAATACAAGATACAAGAAACATTTTACATAGGACAATGATGCTTCAGTCCCCTTCAAAGCAGGCACCTTCCCAATTAAAAAGCAGAGTTAACATAGTCTTGATCTTGCTGCAACTTTGCAGCACCTTCTTCAGGCATGGAGAACCAGGTGACATCCGTTGGGATGACTGGGCCTTCATTTCCAGATCATAGACATAGACCCATGATTCATCTGCAGTTATGATCTTCTTGGGGACATCTGGTTCACTGGTAGTGGTTTGAATAAAGTCATCAGCAACTTCAGCATGATGTTCTTTCTGCTCTGATAGCAGAAGCTGCAGAACAAATTTTGCCTCCATGTGTTTCATGCCAAGATTATGAGTCAAAAATCTAGAACACAGTAGTTTTCAAAATCCCCAGGTCAGCTTCTAGTTCTTGCACTGTCAGTCACCGATTTTTGTTGATTGCAGCCTGTACACATTCAACATTCTCAGGTGTTCTGCTCATTGCAGACCTTCCAGAATGTGGATCACTTTAAACAGACTCTCAACCATGTTTGAAGCATTTGTACCACACTTTTATTTGAGCTTCCCTCACTGCATCATCCCTGAAAACCTTCTGAAGCATCTGAATATTTTTCATGGAGGAATGTTCAAGCTTAATGAAAAATTTGATGCAGATTCAAATTTTGAATCTACTCACTCAGTCATTCTGAATGCAACAACCACACAGTACACATGCTCATTCAATGGCATCTACTGCCCTCACTGACTAGCACAGTGAAGTTGTCATTGTTCATGCATATGTGTTCCAATCCCTTCTCCTTAGCTGCCATGTTACATCAATGTCACACAAACCATTCTTGTTATATTAACAATGGCTGGACTTGTTCCGGACAGACCTCTTATATGTAGAAGAAGCTATAGAAGACTATGCAGAAGATTGTATTGGGTACCAAGTCTTGGCTTTGTTCTATAAAACTAGGTTATTAGCCTGATTACACCCAACATCTAAACATTCACTGGGAAGTGTCAGGTCATTGTTATTAAAGATATCTACATACGGCAGATAACATGACTGAAAACCACCCGAGGCTGCACCTGATGCCCAGCTTCTCTTCTGCCATCCCTCTCCTGGCCAGAACAGTACCCGAGCTCATCGACACCTACTAGTGCATTAGACTCATCAGGTCAGGGGTACCACACAGAGGTTTGCCATCTTCAAGGTCATCTGTGTTGACCCCTATTTCCTTGTAATTATCAATTATCGGTGTCTTTGCTGGGGTCAAAAGTCCATGACCATAAATATCCTACAATGTGGGCCTAGATGGACTAAGGCTGCTATAAATTAGTTCATTTTCATGAATAACAGCAGGTCCAAAATAAACCGTGAGGGTGAAAAACAAAATTCACAAGGAATCACTATAATCACTCATTATTCAGGTTTAAGAAAGACTAGATAGAATGAAAATACTGGAGGGATATAAGATGAACTTCTAACCAGAAGTTTTCCAGATACCTGTTTCTATTAGAAATAGAGTTTTAGTGGATCCTCACCTAAAAATATTACCTAGAGGCTGATTTAGAAAATAGACATTGCTTTTGGAGTGGGAGGTTTGGCCAACACTAGAACAGAGGTTATAGATGAGAGGAAACAACAGCGAAGAAAACCAGAGTTTCTATGAAGTGGGGTGCCCTGGGGGAGGGCATGACTGTGCTTCCAAGTATGATCCAAGGTGAAGAGCAATGCCTGCTCATAAGAAGTGTGTCCAGCCTGTGTCCTCTCTGGGTTCCGAACTAGGAGTTAGAAGAGGAAAAATGCGCCTTGGTTTATAGAACATCCACTGGAAGGAAATGATGTGGAGTTTATTGCCTTAGTTTAGCTGGTCACAGGGATGTAAATATATGCAAATTTTCTCCAGAAAGCAATGCCTTGGGCAAGGTTAAGGGAGTAAACTAGGAAGTCCCTGGTCATGCATGGTCCTGAATGGGAGCAGATCTGTAAAGTCAGGATGCTGCCCACAGGCACACAGGAAACAGCAAAGGAAACCCTCAGGGAGGATCTTAATTCAAGTCTTGCCATAATATACAGAGAATCCAAGACTTCCACAAACCCTGGTAGCCCTAGCTAAGGCCTGAAATTGTTTCTAAAAGAGGGGGAGCATTATGCTGCCACATTCTATTTTATGGAATGAGCCAAAAGCAAGATGATTTTGGCCTCTAAGGACGTGTGTGAGGTAGAGGCTGAATTCTAGGAAGAATAGTGACCACCTTTAGTAGGTAAGTTCCCAATGACAAGGAACTTGATTATTTGTTGAGTACATGTTTGTGCAGCTCTATGGGAAATGCACTCCAGTTATACTTCTTCATTTGTTTGTCCATTTCTCTACTTATTCATTTGCTCATTTACTCGAATCCTTGTTTAGTTTCCCTATGCCATACATTTAAATACAATCAAGAATACAATCTGCAATCATGAATAAAACATTCAAGGTTCTATCCTGGTGTTTAGTGAGCCCTCCAAAAAGCTTGTCAAAAGATTATTTCATTCCAGAACAAATTGTAAGTCATGGCCAGTTGTGTTGAAGTTAGAAAAATGGAGCCATGCCTGTGTCACCACGGACAGGCGACGCTGGTGCCTGGGTCTCCTGTCCAGGGCAGGGCACAGCTGTCTAATAAAAAGTACGAGGGTCCAGGAGGCCTTGAAACGTGATTAATCTAGACGGAGGGCCAGGCGGCACCACCGGGATACAGAGATCCTCTTGGTCACATGCATTATGAATTCTGGAGGTTTCAAGTATTGCTCATCACTCTTTTACACAAAGAAGAACAATAGTCTCAATAAAGAAACCACAAAAATAACTTCCAAGACCTCGGTTTATATCTGTAAGACAGTGTTGTTATTTGTTGTGCTCTGTTCCTGAGCAAAAAGAGAACATTCTAAGTCAGGGGGAAGCATGTGCCTGCTGTGTGGCGGATGAGAACATCACTAGATTTAGGGTCGGCAGACAAGTGTGATACGCAGAACTCAGTGGCCCTGACAGAGCGGGGCTGAAATATCAGACGTGTGGCAGCATGGGGCCTTCTCTGTGCAGATGGGACAAGGGCTGGAATCGGAGAGAGATGTCTCTGGTGTAGTTCTGCACATTCACAGGGAGATAACAGAAGCCACATGGTATGATTGCCAGGTAAGATCCAGGTCACCAGTGAAACTAGAATGTCAGATAAACAGTGAATAAGTTTGCAATTTTAGCATGTTGGGTACAATATTTGAGACTATTAATAGTACAAAAGCATAACTTGTCTATCTGGCATTCAAATTTAAGTAGGTATCCTGTATTTCTGTTTGGTAAATCTATAGGACAGGGGCTGAGAGACAAGGATGGAAGAGAAACAGAGGCATGGCGAAGACATAGGAAACACTTTTTTATTGCCCTCAGTGGTTTCAAGCCCAGAAGAGAAAATTATACACACTCTCATACAAATATACACACACACTCACCACCACTATAATAAAATCAACATTTAAAAAAAGCAAAGACCAAATGGTATTACTCTGACTGTGTGAAAGCAAGGTTTTAGAAAAGGAATCTATCTTTCATCAAGAAATGGAAGATGGCCTGAGCTTCGCCGATAGAGAAGAGCATCTGAAGTAGTGAGAACTCCAGAAGAGAGGGCCTACAGTTGTGCAAGCATATTATAATGAAAGGCTTAAGAATAGCTAGGATGACTAAAAAGGGGATTATGTTGAGAAGCAGAAAGACAACAAAAATGGCTTAACAAGCCATAGCATTAAGTACAAAGTGCCTCAAAGTAGAACATGATTGGGTTACAGAGGCTAGCATCATAGCATCTTCTTGAACAGGGAGCAATGACTGCATCCTTGCTTTGCTATAGAAGATAAACAGGACTATTATTGGCTCAACTTTCAAACAAAGAATTTGAAGTCGTGTGCATGTAAATTTACACAGGGAGAGTGAACAAAGCTAAGACATAGACACAAGCCCTCTGAGTTCAGATCCCTTACACTTTCACCTAAGTTTCACACAGCCAGTTATCAGAATAGTAGACTAGATAAATAGGTATTTTCAATAAATATCAAGCCTATTGAATCAACTGCATCCATCTACTCATTTAACAAATTGATTGATCATATAGTATGTACCAACAACTACTTTATGGTTTTTCATCAAAATAAACTGTTCCAAATCTTAAATGTACTTTTACGTTGTAAAGAACTCACTATATAACTGATGAAAAATGCTGGACATGTATTCAAATTGTTCTCCCAATTTTCAGTGAAGAAAGGTGTGGGACATTATCCAGTGAGTTGCATCTTACAATAGATGGATGCAAGGTATTATTTGTGTCTCATTTAGTTGGATTTTCCTGGCTCCTCGAAGAAGAGTTCCAGGTGTAGGTAATTAGAAAATTCTTGTTGAATGAATCATTGTTGTAGCTTTCCTCTTTCCTCTTTTGACTGAGAATGTGTCATTTCATTAAGTAGCAAGATTTATACAAACTTGAATTAGTCGCCTGCCTTTTTCAAAAAGACAAAGGTAAATGTCATGGTTAATTATAGTACTTAATTTTAATTTAATATGCATGCATGTACACATTCACCCACAACATTTTATTTCTACTTCAGTTTTAATGTTGATGGTTTTGTTTGCCTGTGTGTCTATAGATATATGGCTAATAAATTGCATCAAATTTCTTTGGGAATACACAGAATATATATTACCATAAGAACTATCCAAAATTAACTGTATAGGTATATATTACCATAAGAATGTTAAATTTTACTCTGTATGACTTTAGACAGTTTGTCAGGACCTTAATGTACAAAGTAAGGCAGAATGTTGCATTTTTGTGAAGATTAATAAACATATTATAGGTCAAAAATAGACACAAATGTGTGTATATATGTGTATGTGTATTGATATGTTAAATATAGTTGTTCAAGTTTTTTCGTCTCTGCTAAACCAAAAGCTGCACCTGCTGGTCTGGCTCCTTGGCCTCTCTTTCATGTAGTGGATGAACTCTTCTGGGATAAACCACTTCATATTTCTTTCCCCCAGGGAAATCATTCAGAGCAGTTACTGGAAAAAAAAGAAGTAAGAGAGAAGCTTTAGCTGAGAAGAACCATGGCAGACTGGCTGGAAATGGCCCTCCTTGTGCGCTTCTGAGGAAGGGAGCCGCACGCAGGGAGTCATCCTGTCAGAGAGTGGCTGAAGCCCGGGCACCAAAGAGGTCCTCAAATCAGAGGTCCGCTCTTCCTTGCAAATCTTTGCTTTAACCAATAGCTTCAAATGTTCCCCCACTGAAAATATTTATTTTTAAACTTTTATTGATTTTTATTTGTTTTTAGAGAGGGGGGAGGGGAGGGAGAAAGAGAGGGAGAGAAAGTTCAGTGTGTGACAGAAACATCACACACCCCCCGGTGGGGACCTGGCCTGCAACCCTGGCTTGTGCCCAGGAGTTGAAGCGGGGACCTTTCAGTTCACAGGTCAGCACTCAGTCCACTGAGCCACACCAGCCAGGGTGGTCCTACTGAAAATATTTCTTTTGCATTTTCCCACTTCTCTTCATTGTTTTGAATCCCCTGCAGAGGAATGGAGCAAGCAGTGTAGAGAGAAGCCGGCAGAGAAAGCAGGAGACAAATGAGCCCTCTACGAAAAGTCAGTGGCAGAGTAGTTGAGCTGAAGTGCTCTCAAAACTACACAGTGTCAGATTCTAATATATTTTCCTTGGGTTTTCCAATAGCAGTGTTTTACACTAACGAAGCAAAGGCTCCAATACCAGCTCCACAGAATGGGCTGGCTTTTTGCAGTACAGACAAACCTGCATAAAACACATAAAAATATTTTTTAAAATGTGAGAAACAGATCAATAGAACAGTATCAGTGGTCAGGAAGGAAATTTCTGAGCCTACTATTATATCAAAAGAGAATCGAACATTTATCTCATCTAACCTTCTATCTGCCACTCGGATTCTCATTTCAACATTGTATCCAGAAGTTATTTTTGAGGGAAACTCAGTTTTTCTAAAGCTGACACACGGCCCAGCACCGGTGCTGTGCAGACTGGAGCCGGAGGAAATGCCAGCGGACCTGCGCTCTGGCTGCTGAAGAGGCTGCAGGTCCACGAGAATGCAGATGCAGCCGGAACCAGGGCCCAATCCAAAGACTTACGGACCCTCTGTGTAAACTAAAAGGTTCTCTAAAGGTGGCCCTGGTTCACTGCAGCACTCAAACCTACTTTCTATGGTAGAAGAAATTTATGTTACTATGGTTGACCTTTTAACAAGTAGAACTGAGTATTTTTGTTAGTTCCCTTGGATAACTGTACAAAGATCCTAATAGGCTCCAAAGAATACATATTTATTAAAAATTTTTTTCATTACAAACTAAAGCAGAAGTTTTCAAAATTCCTAGGGATATCAATTTTCTTTTATCATTTTAGGATAGCTTTATTTCATTTGATCACTCAGAACCATTTATATCTAACTTTGAAAGATTTTTTAAAAAGTGATTAAATTGTCTAAAAACCCATTTGATCAAAAATGGGGTGTTAAATTGAGGTAACACCTTTCCAGTCAGTGGCCTGAGATTTCAAAAACACTTAAAGCCATGGCAGCAACATTAGAATACCTTAACTTTGGGTTTAGTTGGGGTTTTTAAATATTTGAAAAGATAGGGCAAATTAAATGTTCTCTGGCCAGTTCAAGTAGTTTTCAATGTTATACCAATGAATACAGAATCCCCTATAATATCTTCAAAGAGGTAATGATCATTTGGATAAAGTTCTAATATCTCATGATAAAATAAGTCTCATCACATAGTCACACTTCCAGAACATCACAAGTTCCCTCAGGCACTTGCTATGACAGAGATAATCACTGGCCATCTTTTATTTCTATACAGTTAATTTTGGATAAAATAAAATAATAACACTAGTTATAAACATTGTCATAGCTGAGTTTCAAAAGCCTAGGAAAACACATTTAATCAATTATTGTGTTTTCCCTGAGTGAAAATTTTTGTAATTATCACAATTATTTCAAAATAATATGTTGAGGTAAGAAACTTACTCCTGCCAGAAATTAACTAACAGTATCAACACAGTTCTCTATAGCCTCCTGTAACTCTGTGATACCGACAAGCCCCGCACCAGGAGGCGCCCATGCTGGTTGGTTGGTGGACTGGATCCAGTCCGTGCAATTAGTCCCCTTAATATGGAGCTCCCAAAGCCATATAGTCACCAATGTTGCAAACAGAGTAACCCTTTTAAAAATACTGAATGAAAACAATTATTTTCATCCATAATACACATTCTGATAGGAAATATCTAAACTGCCCTCAGGTCATAAAATAATACCTACCCAACTGATTCTTTTTATAAAAGCACAAAGCCATAATAACACGCACACATTCCCATTGAGAAGTGGTAAGAACAGGCCAATCCAACCAACACAGGTTTTCTTTGATAGACACGCCGATCTCCATGCTTCTACTCAGTACATAAATTGTAATGTTTCATAGACTCTGAAATTACTAACTGGCTCTCAAATGTGGAGTTGAAATACACAAGTCAGTGAAGAAATTTATTTTCAACTCTTTGAGGGTGGAGTATTTCCAAATAGCAAGCAAAATAAATCAATAAATAACATAAACCAGAATATTTTTTAAAAAAGTCTTTGGCAACCTCTCACTTTCTTCAGTTTGAAATGAACGATTTCTATCTCTTCCCAAACTCTTGCAACATAGTGCATTCTCTAAAGAAAACAGACTGACTTTCCCTTAATGGCCCTTCATTTTCTGAACTCAGGAAGGCCCCCGAGCCAGTGTGGGTTGAGATATAATAAATTACACGGCAGTTAGAGAGATGCAGCAGACCTTGATACTGTTTGGCTCATTCATCCTTACCGCTGATGCTCTCTCCCTACACAGGCTAATTATTTTGAAGCCTGTGGAATAAACACAACTAACTGCCATCCGGGGAATATACAAATTGCAGCTGTAACACAATGTGTTTCTACTAATTTGTTGTTAATACTTGCTTCCTCTCTCCCACAGAACTCACATACTGGATTAGTTTGGACTAACAAAACTAGATGAAAATAAGAAGAAATCTGTTGTTTTGGTTTGGCTTAGATAATTATTTTTATGTTTATTAGTTATTAAGAAGTTAAAAGTTGTTGACAAGATGAATATAACAGACATTGACCTGGATTACTTTGATCAAGTAATAACGCAATGCTTTAGAAAATAAAATTGGTCAAGTATTTATTTCTAAATTACTCATACTTATTATCACCAGAAATGAAAGAACTAAATATGAAAATGTGAACTCAAAAAGACAGGGCCAGCCAACCGGTCTGAATAACAATAGCAAATGCACTCCAAAGCCTTCCACGCAGCAACAGAGAGTCAAATCCACTGACTCTTTGCCGCTCTAAAAATGACAAGGTGAGTTTTGATGAATTTCACTTTTGGGCTCAAGATTCATATTCGTTATTTAAGTTATGCTGAATGAAATCTTCCACTTGATTTCCATATTCTCAGATCATATATGTAAATATTGATTAAAGACATCTCTTTGCCTCTTATTTACATTGAGTGTTTATATCAGTCAATGTCCATCCCTGCCCCCCAAAAGAAAAAATGCAGCAGATTAAAACCTGCCCAACTAGCTAGCAAAATTTGTTAAACAAATATATTTGGAGAAGATGAAAAGCAAGCAGCTCACTGATGTGTTTCATAGAACCTAAAAAGAGCTAAACACCTACCTGGGGCTGAAGACAGGAAGCAAGTGGCCACTAACAGAAGGCCTTGCAACATCCTGGGCAACCCCAGGAGCCTGGCGTCTGTCCGTCTCACTCAAACAGACCAGCACCGCTTGGTCTTCTGCTGCCACCTGTCCAGTGAGACAGAAGGAAACTCCCAGGCTCGTTCTTGTCTCTGCTTCAGGAAGTGTTTACCAAAGGTGTTGCATAACCTTGAAGCTGTGATCCTGAAACAATGGCACTGGCAGGTGGAAGTTCTCACTGCCTCCCGGTACAAAGATTCCTTTACCATAAGCTATGGTTTTTCTTTTCTTCTTCCCACTCAAAAGTAGTGCATTTCCAACATATTGCTATAGCCCAACAAGCCATCATGAGGTAACAGCTTCAATATCTTGATAAATGTGTGTATTTTTTATGATACAGGTAAGGACATTCCTGCTTTGAACCCATATTTCAGACTGTGTAATTCCTGTGTTGTAAGTTCTGAGATATTGGGAAAGCCCCCCCCCCTTTAAATACACACCTGATACCATTTGAAATGCATGATATATAGTGTCACTAATTCTAACAAAAGCTTTTTTGAGTCATGTCTCAGCTCTCCAAACTACATATGAGGAAACCGAAGCCCAGAGGTGTAAAGAAAATGGTCCAGGGGAAGGGTTTACAGGAACAAGTATAAAGGACACATGGATAAAAACTAGGGGTGGGTGGAAATGGGAGGGAGGAGGGGAGGATTGCGTGGGTGGGTTGGGATGGGAGTAAAAGATAGAAAATTGTACTGCGACAACAATTAAAATTAAATTAAAAAAAAAAAAAGAAGAAAGAAAGAAAGAAAAGGAAACAATCCAGGCGACTCCAGGGATGGTTGAAGATTGTTTGTGGTAGCGTTCACCAGCAGGGGGCGTCCAGATCTTAGCCTCATCCTGCAAAGAGCAGTTCATGCGGAAATGGTTGTCAGAAAGAGAACACCCTTCAGGGGTGCGGCCAGGGAGAGGTTGACAATGAATGGATCCCACAGAATCAAACAGGAGGCACATAAAGATTATTGGACCAGAGAGGATCTAATTTTGGTTGGTACTGCCTTTTTGTTGGTGATTTGGGAGGCATTTCTTGGAGCTGAGAATCTGTAGTACAGTATGATACTCTCTCCTGGTTTTCTTCTGGGTGCACACCTCAAAAAAGAAACTAGTGGAATGGCAGACACAGATAAATAGGGTGGGGAGATATTCATCTTTCTTTTTTACTGGTAGATGGATCCTCCCTCCCAGGAGTAGATGGACCTAAAACATGGGAGTAAGAGGACAGGGAAGAAGGACCCAGTTATGGGTAGTTTCTGAAGATGCATGGTTTGGGTCTGAATGCAGTAATATAATTGTCCTGCTGTGTTTTCTGTATATTTATTTCATTTAAGGCCTTCCAAATGTCTTCAAATGTGATTACTTAGAACCGCTGAATTATATGAATGAGAGACGACTGGAACTCTGCTTGAGGTGGGTTGTTACCGGAGCACCAGGATGACTTTGCTCTGTCTCTGTTTCACATCCAGGACCATAAGAGCTCTACTTCCCACTACTGTACTCACTGAGGGCAGAAGAGGGATTGCACACGTGGAAGATGGTTTCTTTTCTCAAAAGATCTTCACAAAAAAATCCCTTTTGAGCCCAGAATTCTCACTATTCTTTTTGCTTTCCATGTTGATTCTTTAAAAAATGTCATGTAGGAAGAAAAAGGAATGGTCATTAGTGCCAAAGGCTGGAAATGGGAGGAAAGGGTGATCCAATCACCACATCCTGGCACCACGCAGGCCAAGGGGATGCCAGCAATGTGTTCTTCGGTGGGACTGAAGGGAACAGCATTGACTGGATGGTTCAAATGTGCCATTTCTTTATGTTACCATGTGACAATCTTCACCCCAACTGTAAGAAAGTAGTGTTATTGAAACCAAAGACAATAGACCTTTTTTGGTCATATGTGACTAATCTTGGGACCATTGGGTATAGGATTTTTAATATTTGTTTTTATTTAGTTAAATATTTATAAACTGTCATGCTCATACACTTGCTCCCAGAATGGACATGGAGGAACCACTCCTTTGATCTAAAGACAGCTATAGAGTCATTGACAACTGAGGCACTGCCTCCTTTTCCCTGAACCCGGTGATGCGCTGCAGAAAGGGGGCACAGACTAAATGCTTTCCGTGCTGCTAAAAGGATGTGTTGTGGGATTTAAGAAACTCAGGTTTTAACATGGCCGAACACATTCCTTCTCTCTGCTCCATACGTACTGAAAACTTGTATACAATTGAAAACATATTGATCATGCATCTGCCCCCACTTTGGGTAATGGCACGAACAAAAGTCACCTCCAGGAGAAGAAGACTTGCCATTGTCACATTCAAAATTTAAAACATCATTCATATTTAAATATATAATTAAACTACTGAGAATCATTCTAAAAATTATCTAAAATATAAAATAGTTTCATGTATCAACATGTTAAGCATACTATGTATAAAAGATAAAACTAAAATTAAATGTCCAAAAATAAGATGGGTATTTAATCTACTACATATATACTCAATGAAATATTAAGCCAACATTTAAAATTACCTGTACAATGAATTTTAATATTATGGGAAAGCTTTACATAATAATATTAGGACAGAAATAAAGCAATAGAGTCATATATAAAATGATCAAAATTAAATAAGAATGTCAAAACTATTCAGAATAAAATACAAAAACAATAAAAATTCCAAAATATCTAGGTAGGGCTTTTTTTTTTCATTTGTGCTGGAAAGATATATTTTTACCCCTTTCTTTCTCTTTTTAAAACTTAATTTTTAAGTAGTAGTTAGCATTACTTGTATAATTTTTAAATTATGAAAAATAAAGACAAAAGTATGTAAATCTTTTCCAAATTATTGACTGGCCATCCTTTTCTTAAACTGAGCTCTCCTTTAAGCTATGTATTAGTCCTCCTTGCTCCCTAGGTCCCCACCGTAATGCTTAGAAAATAGCAGCTACTGAATTTTGTCTGCACACTGAATTAACGACTGAAAGAAGGTCACTCTAAAAAACAAGCAGACCACAAGGCATGAACAGCTGAGTCTTAGAAGAAAAGAAGGAAAAAGAGCTCTTTGTCTTTTAAAGCCAAGACAAAAAGACTTAGCATTTCTTATTCTAACTTATTATGTTCTCACCTGTGGTAAGTAGATAGTGGGGCACAAAGGAAGGAAGGCTATTTGCTTTTAATCTTGGTAAATATATTTTTACACAGGAAAGCTGACAGATCTTATCATCTTTCAGGTGCTATATTTACATAAGATTTTACTTTCTTGCTTAGTTGTTAATTTTATTATTAGCCAATGACCCCTTTGCCCATGAAGTACTAGCTATGTGCTTAAGACATGCTACATTCCATTAGGTTCTTTGTAACAAGAAGTGATTGTTCTCTTCATTGTACATTTACATTACATGCAGTAGGTCATCAGCAGAAATTTGTTAGGTCCAATCAAACTGATCCATCATTTACAAGACCTAATGTACTTAACTAGCAGAAAAGGGCTGGTGGAGCACTCTGTCTTCCAGGGAGAATGAGAGTGGACTTTGTCTAGTCTTACAGTTGTAATGCCCACTTTTTCTGTACCCTCTCCCCCATTCTCTTCCTGGTGTAAGAACTAAATTAAGACCCAACATTATGTGTACCTTTACATCTGCAGGAAACTGAGAGGGCCCGCATTGGTCTAACGACAGATTTCTCTTCCTGCTCTGCTCCCACCAGTAAGATCCCCTAATCACACACCTGTCCTTATCACAGGTCCTGCTTATCTCTGAATAGTGAGCTTCAGTTTCCGGCCAACCTACTGAGTTACTCAAACAAGCCAAGTACACACTCCCACGGGGAGCAGGGGCATCTCACTCCCTTGCTGCTACTAAGCTTGCCTCCCACAGCCCCTGGTCATTCACTCTGTTCCCAAGTGCAACCCTTGTGTGTTTCAGCATGGCGTGAGCATTCTGCAGCCCTGGGCCATGAGTATATGTGACATAAACTGGTGTCGATGGCACCTTTCCAGTGATAGGTGTGTGTTTAGCCATACCATAACCTTAGAGTTAAAATCTGTGCCTCACTGATGGAATAAATAGAAGGCAAATGAGACACTCCAGCACACACACTTCCAGGAGCAGTTACATTTCCTCGGGAACCATTCTGTTTATATCCACTTGGACTTACTATGTTTTGATTTCACAGTGAAACTCCCACAGGGAGATCGCATTCCTCTTATTTATAATCAGGGCTAGAAAGAGGTTTCCTGTTTACTCCTATGATCTGCCTACACGTGAAAATCCAGGCTGACTGAAAATCTTTACCATCTCAATTAAACTCAACTTCATCAGCATTACAGTAACCTTCCTAGCTGTACAGGACCTGCACCTCAGTACTCTGCACTTAGCAGTCCATCTCTTCAGGTCGCTGAGCTTGTCTTCATGCTCACTGTACTCTCTTGGCTACACTGGATTACTCCATGGTCCCTGACCATGTCAGCCATATACTTACCTCAGCACTTGCTTTGACTGTTTCTCCTGCCTAAAATGCTCTTCCCTCAGATACCTACCTACCTGAAGGTCAAGCTTTTTCTAGTGTTTGGTCTAAGATCACCATCTCGGTGAGAAGTAACCTGGTCAAACCTAATCTGACACTCAAAATTTCTATTTTTCTCTTCTCTAGCATAACCTATAACTTTATGTTTTGTTTTTCTTTATTGCACACATCACATACTAACATTCTACATTATACAGAGGTGGGCAAAAGGAGGCTTATAGTTGTGAGTATGGAAAACAGTTTACTCTTGTGTTATTGTTTATTATTGTATTATTTATTTATATTATTTGTTTTATTAGTATTATTACTTAGGATTAATCTTTTAGGTAATGATGGATGGTAATTTAACCTACTTTTGCCCACCTCTGTTTGTTTGTTTGTTTGTTTGTTTGCTTGTTTGTTTGTTTTTATAGTCTGCCTCTTACCAGTTGGATGTAAGTTCCATGAGGGCAAGTGATTACCCAATGATGTGTCTCCAGCATCTAGAATTGCATTTGTTTCAGAATAAGCACCCAATACATGTTTGGTAATTTTGTCAAATGAATGAGTTT